TTGCTACATTTTAGACTTCTTTGATATGTGATCACTACTTCTTGTGGAACTCATTCTTAAAATAGAAGATAATATCATATATATGTATTTATTGTAATTATTATTTAAGTAATATGAATAGATAAAAGTAGGTAAAATAGATTAATTATATAATATCTTTTAGGAAAACTTCTTAAAAACTTCATAGATTTTGTTTTGACTTTACACATATTTGTAGTTGATTAATAGATTAGAAATTTGGTCAATATATTGATCATGTGCCACACATATTGGTAGCTTACAAAACAAGCTAACTACACGGTACCTATATAGCAAACTTGCCTTGTAAGTCAAAATATGTGTTGTGTAAAGTCAACATGTTTTGAAGGTCCTATAGAATATTGTTACATAGCTCTTAGGTAGATAGTATATATAGAGGCATTAGTGAAGTCTTCTTCATACTTATGAATTATTTTCTTATTTTTAGTCTATTTTAAGATTCTATAGTTTTTTATCTTTTGGTAATAGCTATTCTAATTTCTTTTTAATATATATAATTTTTTAATTTTATTTCATCATATTTCTTTTAAAAAGTCTCACTTATTTATTTTCTTTCATTAAATTTTTGTCTTTAACACAAGATTGTATGATGTCCAAACTTAATGTAAAAAGTATAAAATATGAATTTATTAGATATTATGAAGGTACTAAGGCATGTAAGCTTATGTATTTAGAAACCAAAAAGATCATTAAGAATCATGGAGTAGAATTTTTGGAGCATAAGAGTATTTGTGAATACTTGGAAATGTGTCCAAGTATGAATAATGGTATGTTTGTGGATACATCTTCAATTCCAATAAAAAAAGAAAAAAAAGATGAAAAAAATGAAGATGGTAGAAGTATAAGTGAAGATAAAGAGCCAATAAAGATAGATCAAAGTGTCTATAATTACTAGAACAAGCAATAAAGACAATCAAGATGTTGAAGATAATGATGATGAGGAGTATCAACCATTAATTGTGAAGAAACAAGCTTTAAGAAAAAAGGAGGTTGCAAGAGACCTTGGAATGCAAGAAGATGAATCTTTATCAAATAAAAAGATATATCTTTTGAGAGTTAGAAAATGATTTGATAATTGGTGGATGAATCACATTTTTTTTCAAATAAATAAAGAATATATCAATGCTACATTCCTTGCTAATCCATTGATTTTGTGTGATGCAATAAAGTCCACAAATATTATGAAATAGAAGAATGTCATGAAAGAAGAATACAAATTAGTCATGAATAATGGAATATAGGAATTGATTAAATTCTACCAAATCAATCTTCAATTGATTGTAAGTAGGTATTTAGAATCAAGAAGGATGCAATAGGTAATATTATGAAATACAAGGCTAAATTTATTACCAAAGGCTACTAATAAGTTATTCATATTGATTTCAATGAGACATTTGCTTCTGTGGCCAAATTCAACATCATTAGAATTATTATGGTAATTGGAGCAGCAATGGACTTAGAGATGCATCAAATGAATGTGAAGATTGCTTTCTTAAATAGAAGATTTAAAAAAGACATATATATGTATATATATAGATCAACCTCAAGGATTTTTTAAAGAAGGTAAACAACACCTTGTTTGTAAGTTGAAGAAATCTTTGTATAGGCTCAAGCAATCATCAAGGCCATGGTATCAATGTACTTACATATTCTTCTGAAATGAAGGATTTAAAAGAAATAAGGTTGATCATTCCATGTATGTCATGCAATAAAGTGAATTCATATTAATTATCATCTTCTATATTGATGATTTGATCATCTTAATCAAGACATTAAAGATGATGGATTAATTGAAGATAAAGTTAGAAAAGAGGTATGAGATGAGTGATTTGAAAGAGCTTGACTATTGTTTAAGAGTGGAATTTGTGAGAAATTGTATTAAAAAGACCATTAGAATGAACCAAAGTAAGTATATTGAAGAGATGTTGAAACAATTCAACATGAAAGAATCTGAGTCTATGGATACACCTTTGGAGGCCAATTTGAAGTTGATGAAGCTTACAAATCAAGAGTTTGTTGAAATTGAAGGTCAAATGTAAGGTATTCCATACAAGGGAGTAGTGGACTTATTTATTTATGTAATAGTTGGCACAAGAGTGAATCTTGCATATATAATGAGTGTTGTGAGCCAATATATGTCAAAAGTTGGATCAATTCATTATGCAACTATTAAATGGATCATGAGGTACTTAAAAGACACTTTGCATTTAAAATTGTACCTTGGAAGTGATAACATTACTTTGCATGGTTATTGTGATGTGAATTTGGCTAGAAATACAAACGATAGAAGGTCAACAATGGAATATATTTTATTTTTGTTGAAATAGAAGCTATTTCATGGAATTGTAAGAAACAACCATCAATTGTAAGATCAAGAATGGAGGTGGAGTATATGACAATAAGTTATAGTACAATCGAAGCAATATGAATAAGACAACTTTTTGAGGATATTGGAATAGTATAAATAGAAGCAACTTCAATGGAATGTAATAATCAAGGATGTCTTGGATTTATAAAGAATCCAAAGCATCATTCAAAGATCAAACACATTAACATTCAACATCGCTTCATAAGAGAGAAGATTTAAATAGAAGTGATTGATATGAAGTATTATACAACAAAAGACATGCTTGCTAATTTGTTGACAAAGGTATTAGTAAAAGATAGACATTACATGTTGATAAAGGCATTAGGATTGAAAGACTTTAACTAATAGCAAAGTAGGAGTATTAAAGTAAATAAATAAAAATAAAAATAGAATAAGTTACATTATAGAAGATATTACTTTAAATAAGTTGCTATTGGTCAAAGAATTGGCTCTTGGTATATAAGAAGGCCAAGAGATAATTTAGATGAATGGACAAAAGATCTTAAGAGTATAAAAAATATATTAAAAATATATTCTTATAGTAGATAAGATATCAATGGATAGTTTCAATAGAATGCTTGATGGATGTATTCATCAAAAGATGGAAGTTTTCCATTAGGGCATCAACCAACACCTATAAGTAATGGATATTGGAAGTGAGAGATATCATATTCCATACTCTCTTTGTGAGCGGCCTTATTGATTTTGTATATTGTCACTTCAAAGTTCTTTTTCTTCAATACCAATTAATAATAAGCTGACCATCAATTATATAGAAGAAAAATGACAGCTTACCACACTTTAATCTACTTTTGAATACAAGCCAATAAAAGAAAATAAAAAAATAAAAAATAAAAAATCCTTAAAGAAAGGTTTTGAGAAAATCTAAAGAGCGTAAGATTATACACCATTAACAATAAGATCAAAGGATGTTCACAACTTCAAAAAATTGTGTAAGAATGGAGAGGGAATGGATTTAAATATATTTCCTTTCCAACAGATTCCAAACAACTCCATAAACCAATGCCAATAGTAACCTCAAAACATAATACTATAATACGATGTAATAAGTTAGGCATGACGATAATGGAAACAAGTCTATTGACGATGAGTGAGAAGTGTGCTCAAAGTTGGGAAAAAAAGAGGAACTGATGAGCCTCTATTAGTAACAGAAGGTGGAGCCTTCATCTCCCCCACCTCTCGATGGCTTAAATCTCTGTGAAGGGCTATAGCTCTATTTTCAGTTCACAATTTAGCAGTTGGCTTGCATTAAAGCATGCCATGGGTACACACAATTCACGTACTCAACTATTGTCTTAGTTTTAATCTGTGCATTGTGTTAAGAAAGTTTGGTCAGGTCACATGAGCTCGGAATGCTATTTCGATAAACTTAGTTTCTCTTACGGGCACCAAGAAAGTTGACCACGCATGTAACTGTAGATAGAATACGAATACAAAACTTTACATATGCCCTTGTGCAGATAAAAATAGAAACTGCACACACAAGCAGAGGAAATGAATGAACAGAGAAAAAATATTCAAACAGTAGAAAACACAATTGAATTTAATGCCTATACAATCCGATTAGGATTTTAGGATAAAAAATCAAAAATTACACAACAGAGTCAGAGATATTTATTTTTTGTGTCTACAATTAAGCATTTCAATCCTTTACATAATCTTTTGTACATGCAGCAAGATAATTGGTTCCGTTTCCAGCAGAATACAGAATACAATACACGAGTCATTTCCCCAACTTAGGCACCATAGCAGCCCAACTTAACGCTGCACCTAGCTGGGATGCAATGGTTCGACGTTCCGAGTAGCACTGCTGGGGACCAGCAAGGATTTTCTCCTTGAAAAGTTTACTCTTTCTCGTTCTGTTTGTCAAAATAATCAGATGAAACAATATTGTTAGGCGTGAGGTTGAATCCACGATATGAAAGTGGTTTAATTTCTACAAATATATTTCACCCTTAATATCTCTGAAGGGTACAGACGGTTTTATCAAAAACTTTACAGGAATCATGAATCTAACAATAGGACCATCTGTGCGGTACAATTTGAGAACCATTCAGACAGTGATGACCAACTGGAACATCCAGTACAACATCAGAGAAATGCCGCCAATTAAAGTGCTGAAAAGTGACTATCACAGATCCTCCAAAAGAGATGCAAAACTGCAAAAAATCAAATAAATGATTCACAAAACAGAATAATGAAAGCCATTGTGTTCATACAATGCACAGAAAAATGCACACAACAACAGATGTCTTGTACCAAACTCCAGGACCTCAGTTTTCCCAGAAACTAATCAAAATAAATCTGCTACGTACAGTCAGCCCAGCTTTCTCCAAATAAGAATGTAAAGAATCAGAGGTTTTTAATTAACCTGGGGCGAACAATGCTAAACCTCACGGAATTCATTTAAATTGAGATATTATTATTATTATGGATTAAGAATCAAAAGTAAAAAAATCAAAAAATTGTGGGGAAATTTGTTCTATAATGAGTAAGTATAAAATGAAGAGAAATGCAGTATAAATAAACCAAAATTCACTGAAGTAGAAACCTCAACTGAATGCGCCTCAAGTCTGAAGAAATAGACAACCCAAAATGGTTATGAATTAGACAAAGAAGAACCGGTATACCCCATGGCCATTTTGCAACAAATCACAAGACTGGCCAGCAGCAGTTAAAAAACTGCAAAACATTTCTGCTGACAACCTTCAACCTCGGCTATCGGAGGTTGACTGGTACCACACTACCATCGACCGGATCTAAAGCATCACTGAAGCCTCAACGTGATGTCGTACACAAGGAATGGGGTTGAATACTTGCTCAAAGTACTCAAATAATACTTAGCTAATAGAAAAACAACTGCCCTGTGTCATTCTCCAAACTATCAGCTGAAAAGATCTAATGGTTAAAATAAGAGACTTTATACAGGAGACAAAACGAGCCCCAAAAACCCTCTACTCCAAAAGAAGCAAAGCCGTACCTCCCAGAAGCATAAGTAGAGTACAGTCCTAACGATAAGAACTAAAGGGTTTTAATCAACAAGGCCTTGGGTTCCATAATTAAATGTTATTAATTTAAGCGGTATCGGGTTGATATTAGGTTGGTACATACTCGGCATGTGATGCAGCAAGAATGGCTGCTCCAATGCCTGAGCCATCCTTCGAAAGCTCTATGAAGACGTTTTTGGCTGCGTCCCCTAGGAGTTCACGTACAGCTTGTTGCATGTAGTTCCGGAACTTACTGTAGTGCTCATACAAACCACCGTCCATAGCCACGACGGTTTTCCCGCTTCCCCCAATGGAATTCACGGTGAGCTCATCGTGAATACCATTCACGTCATTTCGCCTGATAAAACCATTTGCTGTACTTCCATCCCTTCCAATTTTCTTTAATATTCCCACAATACCAGCAGCTGCTAATCTGGCCCCTCGCTGGCACACAATATCGCAAACAGCAAGTACAATTTTGCGAATCCCCAGTGTTGTGTTATGGATCTGCAACAGCATGTGTGTATACAGAATCAACGAGCTGCAAACGATACCATATAGCTTTGAGTGATAAGTCTCTGAAACCTAATAATATGATTTCGTATGTAAAAAGAACAATATCACGTACCCCATATACTGTCTTCAGAACTTCTGCAACCATTTTGAGGTCACTACTGTCATCATGATGCATTTTCGACATATCTGGTGTTCTGCAAAAGGGCCCATTTCTCTTTTAAAGACTGGCAAGCAAAGGCAAGTCTCTAGGTTTGAAAAACGTAAAAATGTACTTTTCAACATAAAATGATTACCACAATTGACCCCTGCATGCCGTGCCTTTTCTCAACCATGGAATCCTTCTGTGACGCCAAGGACAGCATTAAATACAATGAGGACAGACCAGATCAACCCCAGTCAGAAAGTTTTTAGATCCTATTAAAAATAACAAAACATACAAATGACACTCACAAAAACTAACACAACCATGAAAACCACCGACACATTTCCTAAAACGGTGAAAGTACGAACTGAAGTGTGAAGGCTTCCAAGAGCTTGTGTGGAACATGGGGACCGAAGATGCCAGCTTGCTGAGCCATTCTAACAAGTACACGCCTCACACAATCACCCAAATACATTCCCGAAATCATTTTCTCGAAGCCCTGCAACCAAAAGCCATATCATTCAGCCTCGTTCCAACGCAGGAAATAAACATATTAACAGAATAGAACATAGTTTAGATGCTTTACGTATTCTCCTGGATTCAGACTCTCGTTATCCAATAGCTCGTCCACGTAGGTCCGAGGCAAATGTGACGACCAAAAATTTCCCCACTCCATATTGATCACCTATCAAGGGCATAAACCTTAAATTAGTTGCTACCAACCTACCAGGAATTCAACATCATATGTTACATGAGAGGCAGCTCTAGAAAGATTCGATTTCGTCGGAACCATAGACCAGGTTTGCTGGTATCTTCTGTCGTCTGTAATGTAATAAAACCAGGCAAACAAAACCCAAAAATAAATAACCAGCTTTGGAACCGGGATTGCTACTAACCATCTGGCCAGACTTCGGAAGCTCGCCACCCCACTTCGATATAGATTCAGCTCGCTCCACATAGCAGGCGTTGGTGCCAGTACCCAAAATAACAGCTATCATGACGTCGTTATTCCAATAGCGACCACCAGCTAGAGTTCCTACCGTGTCGTTAACCTGCATAGTGCACCTTAGACGTAAGTGAATGGAACAAACCAAATTATCCATAACGTCAGTAGCGCGACTTCTCAGTGCACACCTTATTACTTAAAAAGCTCAGTGGCTGATACTAACGATAATTGGTAGCCAAGCCCTATTAATTACATTCCTGGAGCTCTCAGCTAGGAAGGGCCCAAGTCTCCATTCAAATATTATGAAGCCTTGAGCCTGAAATGCCAAATTAGTAGACTCGGAGATAGTCTAAATAAATTCTTATCTCTTTTAAGTTCTAACATATTTCTAACATAAAATATCATCAACAAGGTACTATAGAATTGCGTTCACTCAACCGTATTATTCAAAAAAAGTCGTCTGATTGTGCAGGCATTCAATGCATAAATTAATATTTCTATGCGAAAATGCACAACAAAAACAGGTTGCAAAGCAGCGACGTTACCAAAGCAGCAATCCTCATCTTGTACCCTCGCCGTTCAATGCTCCCTTGTAGAGCTGCAACCACATCCTGGCCGATCTGCAAATTCGAGATAACAGCTTGTTGATACACATTGATCGCACGGCTACAGCTTCAGGGTTCAATAAGCAACTAATATCTTCGTATCCTAGAAAAAAATCGCTCAACTACGTCAGAATCTGCACTAAGAGAAAAAATTAAATCTGCAGATGCTGTCAGAAAAATTACTGAGTCAGTGCAAGCAAGTTCAAATGCCATTTTGCCTCGCTCTCACTCAGATGCTTTAAAAGGAAGAAAATTATACTATTCACATTTCACAAAATGAACAATACATTCAATAGAGAGGACAAGTAGGGCAACGTACTGCATCGTTGACTTTAAAGCCCTTGGTCCACTGCAAGAGAGTACCAGAGTTCACAGCGGTTTGCTTACAGGGAAAGGAAAAGGTGAACCCTATCTCCCGTGACTGACCTTCGTGCAATCTAAAATCCTCACCTTCTCTTGCCACAAAGCTAACCAACTCCTTGGCAATAAAATCAAACAATTGTTCGCTTGTTCCAAGCATCAGCTCAGGAGGAATGGCAACCTCCTCATATTCTTGTTTAATTACTCTACCCTCCAGCCCACCCAATTGGGTACGGAGCACCCGGAAGTTTGTGCCACCCAAATCCACAGCATAATAAAGGCCTTTCTCATTCCTGCTCAACCCCAATTGACCCGATGCTATCAGAACATCGTACACAAAAGTCACCAACATACATACTCACTGAACCTATTTGTTCAGTATATCAGTATGTAATACCAAGGACTGGAATATAATGTAAAAAAAAATACTGGTCGGAGAATTCAAGCAGCAAATAAAATCCATAAAACCAAATCCTAAAGAATGTTAGTTCGATAAAATCATCATTCAAAATACTCAAAAAAAAACGCTAGTGAATATAAGATTAGTCTAAGATCGACTGACCAAGAAAAATCTGACAACGGAGACCATTAGCAGTAGCAGCAACAAAAATAATAATCATCAATTAACAATAAAATCAAATCTAAAATCAAATCAAATAAAATAGAATGAAACTCTCTGAAACAGACTATTGATTACCCTCAAAACTTATCCATTGATTCTCTTCGTGCAGCAACTTCGAGCGATAAAAAAGAAAATTCAGAATGCTCTTCCATCCCACGTTGAAAAATAAAATCAGTTTCTGTAAAATGTGTCTTGCTCGAGTGATTTACCGAAAGCTCTTCTGATCAAATAAATTGAAGGGCTGACTTTAAACAACAGATAAAACATCTATAGTAGAAAAGATATCGACTTCTAAACTGCACACGAAGCTAAGATCAGGCAAATCATTTCTACTGCATCGAGGATTCCACTATTCGGAATCAATACGAAGCTGTGCTAATCGATTAGGTGGCTACCACAACTTACAGAAAGTTGAAGAGAAAAGATTATAGTCGCACGCTCTGCGAGCAAATGAAAATAAGATAGAAGACCATGAAATAAGGTGCCAACTGTACTGCATTGCCCAATTTTCTATCTGACGAAGGAGGGCCAGTCACTACTTGTTCCGACTACAACTCACTACTACCCTGGTTCACAATTTATTCACCCTAAAAGACACAACTTCGACAGAAAAACCTCCAAAAAAGTAGATCTCAAAACTACCAAGTTACAAAACTTGGGCCGCATGCAACATGTAACATCTCGCTCAGACGAACACCGTCAGGAGTAGCGAAGAGGGTGCAGTTTTACGTCCAAATCGAAAAGCTGGAGAAATTATACACTGAAAGACGAGGACCAAAGCAAATTCCTAGAAAAAATATGTAAAACATTGAGGATAAAAATAAATAAAAAAACAAAAATAAAACGGAAAAGCAGAAACAAAACAACTCACCCGTCTGGCAAGTGGTCAATAAATGTAGGCAGCATCTTAAGCTTGCTACCACCTTCCGAAACAAGACCAGCATGCATCTCGACTGCCATAGCATCCACAACCTGCCTCAACCGCGGCAGAGGCGTCTCACAAGCCTCCTGAAACTCCACTAAAATTTTCCGCGCTGTGTACTTTTGCGATCGGACTTTCACTCGCTGCGTCAACACCACAGCTGCAGCAGCGCACGCCGCAGCTGCACAGGCGATATACACCCCCGCCATTGCTTTCGATTGCCCCATCTCTCTCCTCCTCACAAAACTGTTCTCCCTTCCTGCCTTCCTTCCTTCTCTCCTTGCCTCAACTCCAACCCTCACAAAACACTCACCTCCCGCAGATCGCCAATGTATTACCCTTCGAATCCTCAAAACATCGACTTCATCGAACGTCAACACTGGAACACGAACCAGTGGCCTTCAACTATGTTTCCCAGCGCTCCAAGCACCAAATTCCCTCCCGCCAGATTATTATATTTCTGCAATACCTTGCCTGCACTGCATCCGCCATGGCAACCTTCCCTACATTGCCATGGACGTCACTCCGATCGATCCAACGCTCCTCTCGCTAACCCGAACTTCGACGCACAGGCAACACAAAACTAATGAAAAAAAAAAAAAAAAAAAAAAAAAAAAAAAAAACACATGCACACAAACACACACAGACTTCCCAAGACTCAAAGCCCCTCGACGCAGCTGGGAGGGCAACGATTGTTTCCACCCTGACGAAACTTGGAGGCTGTTCGTCTCCGGTTGACGGAGTCCGACGATCGTTGAACTCAACGGACGAACGACTTCCGACGTGGCTTGCTCTGGCAGCGGGATCGACCCTTCAAACAGGCAGCCAGGTATTATGGAGACTCACTCCCATTGTCCTGTTTTTTTTCCTTTGTTTCCTTTTTCTTTCCCCATTTCTGGGTTAGTGTTTTTGTGTTGACTGGTGATGTTGAGATGGACCCCTAAGACCCAGGTGTGAGAAAGGAACATCCTTGAGATGAAGGGGCACATGAACCATCCTTCCCCTTTTTTAATTTATTTTTAATTTTGTGCATTGTCTTCACCTTTATTCTTGTTCCCAATCTCTCTGCATGTATCATATTTGTGCAGTTGCAAAGAAGCACATGTTCCCAAATTCATAAGGAACTTTATTGTAGTGACCATGTAAGGAGTCCTTTGGTGACAGGAATAGAGACTCCCAGGACACACAATTTTGTGGAAACTTTGTTCCTCTGACTCCCCCCCCCCCTAAAACCAGAGCCAAAAATCTAGGGCTCTGTTTCACATTCCTGAATCTATTGTGCTCTTCTTCTACAGTGTGTCCCCATTGGATGCACCATGCATGCTAACTATTGAACCCCACTTGTGAGTTTCAATCTTACTTTGGATTAAATCTGTACTCTGTGGCTAAACTCGATTTAAAACTTCCATGTCACACACAATATTTGTTTTGGTTTATGTATGTAACAAAAAACAACTAACCAGCTAACTTTGGTTGTGTTGGAATGATGGATTTTTTTAGTTGGGTGGAATGGTTTTGTTTCAACCCTTTCTCAAGGAATTGTGTGGATTATGATTGACTTTTCACTCATCCCATTTAAATCTGTCAAGTAAAACTTGGTGGTGTGGAGTTTATTTATCAATAACTTCAACTACTGTATTATTGATGTCATTTAATTGTTAGGGCTACACACTCTCAATATGGCATATGATGGTCAATGTTACATACTGCTACAGTACAATTAACCACTGTCCATTATCATTATTAATGTTTTTACTTGAACACTACGGCAGTTTATGCAAGAATTTAGTGGAGGTGGAGGGTTTTGTACATACCTACATACATACATCCAAAAAAGTTACAACACTCTCACAATTTCATTATGAAATGTCAAAAGATAATATGAATGAGCTCAACAATATATTCTGATCCATTGTTTTCATTCATGGTTGGTTTGCAATAGGTTTATGTAGTTAACCAATGGAAATTCAACCAGGATGACTAGTCCAGCGTAATACTAATAATGCAGATATCAACCCATGCTTGATATTTTGTTACTTTTTTTCAATCTAGTTATTGTATAAAAAAATCAAAAAAATCAACTACAACCCATGTGAATTTTTCAAATGCAAAAGTAAAAAAATGCTCCCAGCTTAAAGGCATAGCATATCTGCCATAACAATAATGATAATGTTCTCAATGTGGGTTCATAAAATTAAACCAAGATCCATATTTTTTGGGGGCCCATATACATAAATAATGGAATGAGTGTCTTCGAAGTCAGAACATGAGTGGAGGGCAGACTTGTGGATCCACCTATGCACAAATCATGTGGACAGATGAATCAATGAATGTATAAGGCATCATCCCTAGGATACATCCTTTAGACATGAAAAGAGGGGTGTTCAGATAAAATAAAAATAAAAATAAATACTAATGATAATAATAATAAATCAGCTCTACTGCACTACTAATACCCCTGCATATTTGTTTTTGGACCTATGAACACATATATACTGCCTCAATTCTTTATTGGAGTGGACAGCATGGATTTGCACAAACATTGATATGCAAAAGAACCCAGTAGTACTAGTAATATTAATAATAAAAACAACATTGGAAAAATATGGTTGTATTTGAAAGATCACTGGGATTTTTAGTGTAGTTAAGTCTTGCTCTAGTTGATGAAACATATGTTTATTTTTAGTTTAAATAAAATTTATTTAATTTTAATAAGAAAAGAAGTTCAACACAGTTAGAGTCTGTCAATTAGAAAATGTTTTAGATAAGAGATTTCACAATGAAACCCCAAGTTAAGTGCAGACTTTTTTTCTACTTGATTCCTATCTTATTGAGATTAACCAAGTTAAAAAATACTGCAATAATTCACACCTTGGCAAAAATGAGATATCCATTTTCAATCAACAGATATTTTATAAATTAATAACAATTTTAGTACAAATAATCCAAATATTTATTCGTCTAAGCTTCTTCTCTAAATTTCACATTCATATCTTTTTTGGTGATGCATTCTTACTAGACAAGGGACAAAAAGAAAGAATATACTTTTGTAATTATGGAAACAAAGCCAAAATGTGAGTGTTTGTTGAGAAAACAGATTGTGGTTCAGACCATTGAGCAATGATATCTTTAAAATAAAAGTTTAACTAAACACTTACTTTAACAATCCAATGAGTTGACAAATCCAGGTCATATCTATATAAAAAAAATTGACAAGAAATGCCATATTTGAAAATAAATAAATAAATAAATAAATTCATGCAGCAAGTCACAACTTTTAATAATTCACCTTCAAATTATTCTGAGGGATGACACTCCAACCATATTACAAAATTCTTTGCCACAAAGTTCTAACATTCCTAGAATCACACTCAAGCATGACTCACACATGTGTCAACAATTTTCTCCTGTGTTGGAGTTTGCTTTTATTTAGTTACTTACATCTTTCTTCCCACAACATGTTGTAAATGCTTGCCATGCTTTCCAGAAATAGTCATTGTCCTTCCTTCAAAAGGGAGTATTTGTATTCCTCTTTCAGAAAACCACAAAGTTGGCCAACTGGAAGTCAAACCCAAGCCTGAAGCCATTCCTTCAAAATTCCTCACTGAACCCTGTTTCATACCACACCACACCACTTGTTGGTTTCATTATATCCCAAGGATTCCAAAAGCCTCTTGCTCTCTCTCCATTCACACTTTGGTCTGTTGAAGGAGGTGCCCAAATTGACATTTCCTGGGTCATCAAATGCCCACTCAGCTCTCCAAATCACTCTACCCCAATGGTACTCACTTGGGTTCCTTCTCACGGTTCATGTATGCAAGGCATTCTTGATTATAAATATATACATATATATATATATCAGTGGAAACTAGTGCCATTGGCCACAAAAAAAAAACATTATAAATTGTGTGTTGTAAATTAGTATTTTATTTGAAGTTTCATATGACGTGAAACTCCATGTTTCATGCCTTTTCACATTGTGGTGCCTCCAAACTCCACACCTAGTGATCTTACAATGCTACTTCTCTGCAATATGCAACAACATGCAATTTTTTTTTATCTTTGATTGATCAAAAGTTGAGTTATTGCTTCATTTTGATGAGAACAATGAGATATGCAGACAATGAAAGATGGCTTTTGTCTCCTTTGATTTATACCATGAGCTGTTTTATATAAGAGGTATAAAGTGGAAGTTGGGATAGTACTTGGGATGTCTGAATATCACATCTTTGAGGCAAGCCAAGTCACACAGACAGATGGACAAATATATGTGTAGATTTATAGATATATAAAATAAATAAATAATTAAGGATGTAGCTTGGTATTTGCAGGGGCTCTGGATTAGGCAACACTTTCAAGGGTACTGTTATGAACTGGATCAATAAGTAAGTGTTGTGAATGTGTTACATGGACAAGACATCCAATTGTGAGATGTAAGAGCTAATCCTACAGTCTTGTCACCAATAACAACATGGCTTGATGGTGAATTGACACTACTAATGTTGTGTGTATTTAAGCATTTCTTCCATTTAAACTATGTCTAAATATATAATTTTTTTTCTTTTTGAGGCATAATAATGATATTTCATTGTTACATTTGAATATATATAAACATATATAATTTATTGAATGTTTTTTATTTTATTTTATTTTATTTTTACATATAATAAATATGCCTATGTATGTGTAATTGTGTCTACATATAGGAGTGTATATTTATGTAGAAATCATACAATATTTTTATGTGTATTAATGCATCTCAATTTGGATTTTCTTTTTTCTTAAAATGTATCACCGTTTCTACCAATATTTTTAAACCAATGTTTTAATGAATTACCAATACTTTTGGATTTGTTAAAGTGGAATCAACCTCAGCTAAATTATTACACTAAAATCAAACAACTTATCACACAACTGATCATATTATTTTTGACTTTCAATTTCCATCTTCTTTACCATTAAACCCATCAAGAATCTTGACATAAATATCCCATCATGTGTATATGCAAACAGAGAGAGAATAAACCCCTATTGAGAACTGTTTCCACAGTTCATAACTGACTGTAACAACTGGTGCTCCAAGTGACAACCAGCTGTCCAAAAGCAGAGTTTAGAAAACCCTAAAATGCAAAAGTAAATGCACCCAATGGGAAGAGAAAAAAGAAAAAAAGAAAAAAAAAGGCATGAGGTACTTGCTGAGGCAACTCACTGTTGGCCCTTTCAGATAAGCAATGACCCCCACCAGTGAAAATTACAACCTGGGCCTTTAGTTTGGTAATCAGACATTACAAAAGCAAGGGAAGTTCCCTATTGGCATGGCCACATACATGAGCAGGCAAACAGTTAAAAGAAGAGGAGGAAGAGTAAGGGGCTGTAGTAGTCACTGCTTAATCAGCAGCTAGGAAAGGGCCAAATCCTTACAGAAATTGACTGTGGAAGCATCAAAGCAATCCTTGCTGAAGTAAAGTGTGCAGTAGAGAGGAAAAGCTCTATCCAAGCTATGCACCCCTTCAATACAGCTTAGACAGAAACTGCACCCCATGTTGGGTGTCACATCCATAGAAGCTTTTTATTGTAGAAGAAAAGAGTGGGGAGAGCACAACTTTACACATATGTTGCTGTCACTGTGCTTGTTCTAAGAGGGAACCTAGGCTGGGGGGTTGCAATTTGTTGTAGTAGTGGGGGGTGGAAGTGTCTTGTGGGAGAGTGAGAGTGTGAGTGCAAGAGAGATTCTATTGTAGTGAAGTGTCCTCATGTGGCATTGCACCCCATAATTTTCCCTGCCCCCAAAATAATATAGAATGAAATATCCATGCTTTTTGCTATGCGTTGGAAAAGCCAGAGCCACCTGTCTACTCTTGAGATTTTTTATTTTATTTTATTTTATTTTATTTTTCCTCCTGCGGTCTGCCCAGCAGTAATGGGAACACTGTATCAACATGTTTCAAGAGAACATGAATGTTACTCCTTTTGGGGTGGGGGTCATTAGACTGGATTAAAACATGAGACAAAGTATGCTCTTGCACACACACATAGAATGCATATCCAAACTACATACAAACATATACATACACATACATATTTTACATGCACTCACATACATATACATACATACATACATACATACACATACATAGTATTTGCATGGGGTGGTTTTTCACACATGACAATAATGTTCTGAATTGGCAACTGCAATGGGGTCTGTTCACCTAGCCCCTAAATCATGCCACTGTTTGCTTGATTGTTTACATGAGTGAACCAAAGCACAAGTCTGTGTTGACAGAATGGACACTTGATTTGCAAGGCTGGATCCTCTCCCACTCTTTGTCTAGATCCAATGCAACAATAGCAGGCCCAACAAGGGACTTCCACTGAGTTGCAGTGCTTGGATGGAATCATGCTGTCTTCTGTGACTATCTCAGTTCAGTTCAGTTATTATTTATCTATTTTATTTTCTTTCAGTGTGGAGTCACTCATGATCTTGTCACTTTGAAGCTTCCCTTAAAGAAAAACTGGTGAGGAATTAGAAGCCAAACTCAATGTCTTGGCAAGTGGTCTCTTTCATGATTGAATTCGTTCCTGGAAAAGCACCTTCTCATTAACCTCCTAAAGGACCTCTTTCTCCCCCTCTACCACATTAGGGGAAGCCAAATATGAAGCTTTGTATGTGAGAGTGGTGATTCCTATTGGTTCTCCTGTATTCCAACCATTTGTCTAATCCCACGTGAGGAGAGGGAGAGAAAAAGATAGCTAAAACTACTAAGAAAAACCCTAAACTTATATCTTACTTAGGAATTGCCCCATATTCTTCATTCTCCACCAGAATTCTACCTCTATTTGGTCCACACAACATACCGTGAAGAGTTTGTTTGCCCATGTGTTGAGAAATTGGTGCTGCAAATACGAAACGGGGAAACCAGAAGTTGTGAGAGGCGGCGGCGGCAGCAGCAGGAGCGATGGTGGTAGTGGTGGTGGTGGAGGCAGGACAGAGAGTACTAAGGACTCATGATTGCTGGCATGCCCCAACAGGTGGGAGTGTTATTGTGAGTATCCTGGCTCTCTCAACTCTCTCTCTTGTAAGTTGGTACTTCGATACCTACCATAACCATACTGGCGGTCAAGAAGCCTCCAGCTCCCCTCCCTCGTCCTCGTCCTCCTGTTCACGAAACTAGAAAAGGGAGACAAGTTTGTTTGCACACCCTGCCCCTTGACTTCATTGGGCAATGAGTAGGTTCTTAAAAGGCTTTCATCCATGCAGTTCCTGTTTAAGAGGTGGATGAAACACTGTACAAACATGCAAAGATTGTGGGCATCCCGTTCTATTATTTTGTCAGAAGCGGGGTTAACTTGACAAATCAACCCACGGATAGCCTTGAGCACAAGAAACGCAATACGATGACGTTATTGAGGATACATATGGAAAAATGATCACACTAAAAAGGTCTGGTCAAAGTTCGCACACCCTTGGTATAAGGGTAACTTGATAGTAACAACTTTCAAATTAGTCTTCAAGACCTTTTGTAGCACCCATCACAATTCTTACATTTTGTAACCTTGGAATTTCGGAATACAACGTAGACACGTCTGTTTGAACCCTCATGCCACACAGGAAGGAATTGAACTAAACTAAACTAATCTAAACCCAACATCGCCATCACTTTTCTCTCAATGCTAGATGTCTCTCCTTTACTAATCTGAATCTGAACCGGCAAACCTAACATGCTGGGGGCATTTGCGTAGAGAGGAGATGGTGCGTGAAGGGGGATTAGAATGAGCTGGTATTTTCTCACCAGTGCACTCGAAGGATGTTGTAAAACCCTTCATTTTTTTTAAGCCGGTATTCAGTATCTCTGCACCCTTTACAGGTTGATATTTCTCAGGATGTAGCTGAAACGACTCGTTTGCCGCTCTGCTTCCTACAACTGCTTGAATTGAAGCATGAGTTGATTTACTCGACACACCAGAAGAATCAAAATGAAACTGGGCCGTTTCCTTTTTCACTCTAGTTTCTACGGTCCGTTGACTTATAGCAATGTCAACATCGTTTCTAAAGCTCTGAGGATCTACAGAACAGGGGGCAACCAGTGTTTCCGTATCGGGGCGTTCATAGGAAAAAGCTGATCCGAGGAACGGGAGTGTCCGACCAAGAGATTCCAACTCACAACCACGAACCACCATGCCGTCGAAAGCAGTGCATACGTTTTTATATCTACTTGCGTCCAACGTCACAGCCTGCATCAAGTAAATAGATCCGCTGAGAATTGACAACGATGGTATACTAAATGTTTGACCCTTAACTTCTTACTTTCAATTATCAATTTACGTGGAATATAAGCCATTCTCATCACGACTTACATGGTCATACACTGTGACATCTCCATCTGTTTGAAAGAGAGTGCAATACTGTAAGCTTTGTAGTTTATAAAAGATAGGATAATGACTTAGCATGCATATCCACTTGCTAGTCTCCCCAGTTGCAAATAAATTCTCGGGCGAAGGCCTCACCTGAGGATACCGCTGACTGAAGTGGGTGAGGACAACAAATTGAGCTCTCATTTGTAATCCAACATCGATAGCCTCCAAAACAGTGCTGTGGCGTTTTCGGATGGCATGATCAGACAAATTATCTTCAAAAGTTGCCTCGTGAATAAGCAAAGAGCAGCCTCCTCCAGCTTGTATCAGTCTGTGGCAAGGCCTTGTGTCTCCAGAGTAAACTATGCTCCAACCACTGTGACCATGTATAACTAATCCATACGCTTCGTGACAGTGGTCAACATAAATACTCCTCAGACCCAGTAATGCAAGATTCTTGAGAAACCCCTGAGTGTCCTGTTCCGCGTTACCTAGAGCCCCATTTCCTGCAGGCCTGCTGAAAATGCCTTCAGAGAATGCGTTGCAGTGTAAAAACTGAAAAGGCCGAAAATTATAGCCCATGTCTGCCCATAATGACACTGCCTGTGAGTCACAAAAGACTGTTAGACTTCGGGTGACAGTTCATCAAGATAAGAGCAACCTAAGTCTCCAGGGTTAGACATAGAAGCTAAGTTTCCATGAACATACCTCAGATATCCATCTTTTAACTGCTGATGGCCCAATGATTGTCAATTTCGGTGCTTCAGTTGGATATGCATGTATAATAGATAGCATGCCCAGCACATGATCTGCATGCTTGTGGGATAACCACACACATTGCAGGGATCGTAAGACTTCATCAACTCCTGCACTACCAAATTTGCGTCGCAGTTGACCAATGCTTCCTTCTCCAGCATCCAGCAACATACTATGTTTGCCTTCTGTTTGTAATAGTATAGCACTGCTACCTCTGAATTTGCTTGGTTCTGCTGAGCCTGTTCCCAAAAATACCAACTCAAAATCTGCACTATTCCCCCGTTGCAGCGAATCCTGAAATGTTGCTCCAGGATGATCAAATCCCACAATATTATGTATTTGTTTTTGAATCGACGCAGGGCTGGTTGACGGAGTTATTCCTCGCTGCTGCTTCAGCCGTTCTTTCAAATTCATGGCAGCCAGCTGGTTTGATGTAAGCATGGATTTGAAATTCGGGCGTGGCATCCCATCTTTATTTCCGTTCAATTCCAATGCCTTAAGGTGAGGCTTACTACGAAGCATCTCATGCTGCATTTTACCAATATCAATGGCCTTTACACATTCTGTGTTATCGAGGGAAGCGTTGACACCATTGACCCCCATTTCGAATACAACTCGCGTAAGCATCGAAGCTTTCCATGTATGTTCCTGCTCTTTGCTACTCTTGAACGATTCACCACCAGCTCCAGTAGAATTTGAGGAAGCTAAATCGAAGGGCAAAGGAAACATTGTTTTATTGATCACATTTAGCTTTGCCAGGGTCTCCAAAGATGAGCAAAACCCAAACTCCTGCGTGTCCAACCGAATCGCAATGTGTGGAGGCGTCTCGTCTCGTTCTACGTCTCCATCCTTATTAACCACATTCTGTGAAGAATAGTGAGAGAGGTGGATGACAGCTACGACAGAGTGTTGCTTTTCATGACCGTCAGTTATACTCACTTCAACAGGCAAATCAGTGCTTGTGTACCGCGAGGTGGCCTTCCCATTAACACACCTCAACACAGGATGTGACCAGAGCCTATCCAGCAGCAGTGAACTCTCACAATCTACCAAAATAATTCCTGCGCCTAATTTTTTCAAGTAGCAGACATAACCCAAGACAGTGGATTGTAAAGCCTCACTTCTGCATGCCTCTTGCTCCTGCACCCCAGAGTTGGCAGCTGGTTCAATTGTGCCACACAAATTCTTCACATATACAGGATTTGCATCATCTCCAACATCGGGAAGTTCGTATTCAGTAGCATTGTTGATCAACCAGTCATAGCAGCCTGCAGTTTGAGGTGGTGAAGAGGCATCAAGAGATCTCTGGGCATCTCTTTCACATGTGTCACGCTTTTCCTTGGGTTCCAGGTTTCTTGCAAGTGCTGGTTGGGAAGCTGCCTGAGATATGCCGCGAGAAAATGATACATCCCGTTCTCTTTCGCTGCCATTGCCCTTTATGAGGCGAGAAAACGCCACGCTCTTCATGCCTTTGGCACGGTTGTTGCGATCACTGAAAATAAGGTCAAGCTCTGCAAACAAAGGGGTGCTCACATGGGTGAGGTCTATCTTCTTCCTCTTTCTGAGATTCTTTCGGCGGCCATTGGCTCCAGCATTTCCTTCCTTGCTGAAGTCATTATCGCCGTCGCTACTATCGCTACTGTCTCTTGAATTCAAGTAACCATCCTTATCATGTGGCTTGAGATCAGACTTCTTGAACCTAGGGGCTGCTTCATCCTCAGAGGAAGAGCTCGAACTCGAAGAATCTGATGCACTACTGCTAGACGCGGGCGGTTCGGAATTGCGGCTTGGTAAAGAGGCCTCTCTGGCTGGGGTAGCGGTGCCAAAACGACACCACGGACAACCCAAGAGCGAATCTCCTGATACAATTGGGACGATGACGACAAACTCATCTTCAAACACGGGGACCTTTTCGCAAGCTCCACAGTCGCTAACCAAAACCTGCAGTTCGATTGCAACCTTGATAAGATCCGTGTCCGTGATTGATCTTTACTTTAGAAAACACGTAGTACACTTTCAACCTCCAAATTAGAGAAACACAAATCGAGAGGGGGTAGAACACTACAAGGCTAACTTCCAAATAGACGATAATAGATACTAGCCCAACGGTCTCTCGAATCTCACCAAAGAGGCAGTAGTACGAAACCTTAGGGTGGCGCCACCGGAATATATGACGGAAGGAATGGACCAACCTGCTCACACCAGGGGATCCTATCATTTGCACTTGTCCGTGTCCATCTTGAGCCAATCTAAGCAACAAGCCTCCGAGTCCTCCCTGCCAGAAATGTCAAGACATTGCATGATCAACATGAAATTCTTACTGCTCTCCAATTTTTTCCAACCAATCCTAACAGTAAGATAAGTTCCTCTGAAGAATAATTCTAAATTTGCATTACTGTATGCGCTAAAGAACTGCTGATCTTTAACTTGGTACGTTACCAACATGACAAGGCAAAACAACACAATCACGAGGTGTCGGAAGCTCAACGAGCAATCACTGCTTTCGAAACAAGTGCGAAAGTCTGACTGCAATGTGCTTTAATGACCTCATAATCCCACTGGACTTCATAATCCTCGGTCCTAAAAAGTAATGACAACAGATTTGTTGACCTCTACAAACACTCGGAAGTGGTAGAAGAATTTCTCACAGCAGATTGAGGAAGCAGCGACGTAAGCGAAACACAAGACAATTTGGCCGACGGACGAAGCTTGTGTTCGAGTGCAAGTCGGGCAAAACCCTCCGGCACATTGAATAGATACTGCGCGGCTCCCTTGGGAGCTGACAGCAGCAATGCTGGGCTAATTCCATCTGCTGCCGCATGGAGAAAACGCGCCTCGTAGCTCACATGAGAATTCATCGTCAATTCAGCAGGTAATCTATCCCCTCATTTATTTATTTTAGCACGTTGGTGTTTCAACTGGAGGTCTGCTCACACCGATCGACAGAATCTCCCAGGACGCTATTGCCACAGCTGGAACGCCCCCCAAAACTCTCGCAATGAGCCTCAAAAACAGAACCCTAACATCCACAGGTTCCGATATGCTCAAATATCCATAAACCCTAACAACACTCCTCGCCCCAGCAGCTGTAACGCAATACACCAGATACTGTCACCAAGTAATGCTGTAGTTCTCATCTATCTGCTACGACTAGGTCAAAATGAATATCACAAGCACACAGATTCTCCTCAAGTCTGTGGCTGCATAGTTCGCTATGTAACATTAATCCGTAAAAACATGCGGTGCCTCCTAGACATATTTTTTAAATTTCTTGGGGGGCATGTGTCTATTTTGTAAGCACAACTGACTCTCAAATGAGCCTGGGTTAATGGGACTGGGCGGTAAATCTCTTACTAAGGTAGCCGACTCATTTCGGATAACTTAAACATTTCAGAATATTTGGAGTCAGTGTAAAAATGAAAATAAAAAATACCCATGTGCTGAAATCAGTAGGATTCCAAGTGTTTCAGACAATTTGGCCCAAAGATGGAATTTATATAAATGTTTTAGTTAAATATTCTCTTTGATCCATTTTCAACATATAGACCAACCTAATTCAAACCAATGATAAGTTACAAAACCAATAATCCAACTTTTATAAAACCATGTGGCACTTAATTATGTTATTATTCCACTCCAACCAATCAACAATTCTCACTTATATTGATAGTTCACGTATACACATTCCAAGTACAATGAATTTTATTTATTACTCGTAACTTAACATCATTTTAACCAACCTCTGATCTATTTCCAACCAAAGGATGTCAAACTTGATCGACAATAGGTTGCCAAACTCATAGAAACATCCCACCTTGTAGGTTGGAAATGGGAGGGAGAGGGGGGGGTTTGTCAACAATGGATCAGCTATCTTAATTTGGATGCATTTCACAAGATTGCCAAGGGATTGTCATAATAGTTGTGTGATCATCAAACTAATAACCATATGAGTGATTTACAATTGTTGAAGTCATCAATTTGATATTGCTTCATCATCTTATTCAATTGTAATTAGTGATGTCACAATTTCATCATTTTTTATTTTTTTATTTTTTTAATCTTATTGGTCATTGTAAAGATATTTTTAGTTTGGTAATGACTAATCAATAATAATCTATTATTTGTATTTTACATTGCTAAAAAACAAATCAACATGCTTCTTATGTGAGCATAATTACTCCATAAACAAACAAATACATATAATTTACCAACAATAAGACTTTGACATCAACTACACCAACTTATGACTTCTTTAGCATTCCATAGTTATTTATGGTATTAAAAAGGATATATCTTTTGTAGTTAAAGAATTTTATCTTAACAAAATGATAAGTAAGTCACTTAAAAAGCATCCAAAACTTATGAATCATTGTTTAGAAAAATGGAAGAAATAATAACTTGTACTTAGTATATTTTAAAATATTGAAGAATAAATAAATTAGAAATGTAAATTTTAAAATGCTATAGATTACCAAGTTGGTGATAAGAAAAGAGCAACAAGGTGCTTAGAAGTTTCTAAATATTTAAAGAAAAAAATTTCCATATGATTTAACAAAAATAAATAAATAATAGTATATATCTTTAAATATGGAGTATATAAATAATCATGTTAAACTAATAAAAATTAATATTTTATCTACACTAATCAAAATCATGGCATTGAGGATACTATCCAAAGAAGTGATAGAAGTAGTCTTCCAAAAATAAATTTCTATGCCTCAAAGCTTGCAGTGTTGTAAAATAGAAGAGGTGAGCATAAGTGACTAGTGAGAAGTTTTATTGTATATTGTTCAAACCTCCAAAAAAGACAAAACTTTACCAAAAAATTATCATATTAGACTATCATTGCTGCCTTGTAGGCTAGAGAAATAGTAAATAGGGCATCATTACAAGACCTTTAGAAGGTTGTTGTGTGACAATGTGTAGAACAACTTCAAGAAAGTCTTATAGAGTTTTTTGAAGTTATTTGCAAAGATTTTTTTGGAGATTTTTAAGAATATTTTAAAAAATACTTTTATAAAATTTTCTAAAAATTAATTTTTTTGGTTTAAAAGATTTTTTCAATAGAAAAAAAAATCAAACTTATTTTTAATGATTAAATGTTTTATGAAGAGATTTTAAATTATTGTAAATATTTTTTAGAACTAGTAATTTCACTTTGGATGCCTTGTTATATAGAAATGCCAATAATAATTATAATGAGGGATTGCAATAATTTACTATAGAAAAAAATAGTGTATTTTTTTCAACTAACTTCAAAGAAACCATCTTCAATTTTAAATATAAGAAAGTTTAATACAAAATAAGAAATCGGATATGATTATGTGAGTTCTTTATTCATTTATTTTTTATTCTAAGATCAAATCATTACATTACATAAATTACAATAATATTATTTTAAAATAACTGAAATTTTATAGAAAAATAAAATACTAAATTATTTTTTAAAATACATAAAAAATAACTTAAAATATGCTTTAAATTATGTGTAAAATCTAATATATCTTATTATTATTTTTTGACAATCCATATTCATATTTTATTTTAAAATTACAATAAAAATTAGAAAAAGAATATATTATATAAATATAAAAATAAGTTTTTTTCTTATTTTTTATATTTACTAAAACCCTCATATAACTATTTGAAATTAAAAAATAATAATGTAAAGTTAAGACAAATAATCTTAATCTATATTTTATATAAGTTATACAAATATATGATAATTTATTAATACATAATAGTTCAATCTTTAAGAATCAATTATATATATATATATATATACATATATATATATATATATATATATATATATATATTATAAAATTAAACAAGTTTACTAATGTGTAATAGATTAAAATAAATTAAAAATACAAAGAAATGTTTTTAATTGTGACAATAGAAATAAAAAGTTACAAAATTGAATAGATCATTAAACTAGTTAAATAAAACACATTAATTGATTCTTCATATGCAAATTAAATAAATACCATATATATTTGAAATAAATAAAACTAATAGTATATAGAATTTTAGAATAATAATAAATAATTATTAGTAGAATATGTAATTATTATTTATAAAATTATAAAATCTATTTAAAGAAATATAATATTATATTTATTTTAAAATATATTTAATATTATTATTTTATAAAATATAACTTGTATAGCCACTAATTTAATCAATAATTTTAAAATTTATAAAGTTGAGACACAAAATCATTTAATAACATGTTCTTTGCACCTCTTTTTCAATTACTAAGCAGAACAAGCTCTTTAATCCTTATTTCAATTCAAATTGGACCATGCTTTAAAATAAAACTTGAGTTGAAAAGATTTTACACTCATATCATTTATATAGTATATCTGATTTGTAATGAATGCATGGAGACAATATATATATATATATATATATATATATATGCCATGATATTGGACAATAGTGTCTTTTATACAATCTACATGCATTTAAGTTATTTATATACAAAATTTGGACTTGCTTGTTATCATAAAAGATATAGAAGTAGGAAACAAAACTCATATATTATTTAAGTGTAAGCAACATAAACTATGACAAACTTTGAGAAGAAAATAAAAACTTGTGTAACTAAAAGAAAAAAAGAAAAAAAGAAAGATAATATATACAATTATATAATAGAAAAAAACTAGAATTGCTCTTTCTAATTATAAAAAATTTATAAAGTCTTATACTAAAATTAGAATACAAAATAAAGTTTTAATATGATTTAGAATGGCCTTAATCTTGCCTCTCTATATATTGGCTACTTGAAAGATCTTGTAGAAGCTTTCTATGGACTACAGAGCTTGTGGTCTAAGCATCAAGTTATACATTATTTTTAATATAACTTTCTAAAATTAGAAAACTTATATATGACAAGTTTTAATTGATATGTGACATATCTATAGAAGTCTAAATATTTAATCTACATCCAACAAACTTTATTAAAGTTTCTTGAGAAAGATATCATCTATATAATATGAAACATTTATTTTTACTTATTTCTATTTACTTTAGTAAATTAGACATTTATTACACTAAGTAAGAAAATTTCACATAAGACTCCATGGCTTGCTTTACAAATCCAACTCTTAATTTGCAAAAGTCCTCCAAAATAAATTAAGATGTCTTTATTTTATTTTATTTATTTATTTATTTTTACTTTTTGAAAAAAGACTTAGAGTACAAATGATAAATTATGTCTAAGATATATAAGTCATAGTACAAAGTATAATTATGCTCTAATACCTAAAAGAAGTATCAAATATATTCAGGCTTTATTAATCTTCAATTATTTTTCATGCCCAAATTTCATAACAAAAACATTTATATCTTTATGTTTAAAAAACAATAAAGAAAAAAAAATGCATGATATTGATTGAATTCTTTAAAATGTATGTTTACTTTAAGTTCAAGTTTAAAAAATAAAAAAGAGTTACATACAAATTTATTTGCTTATAATGCTATATAATAAACTTTTAATAATAAGATAATTTTTATGAAACTATTTATTTGATGATAACTATTATTTTAGTTATAATTAATACAAACATAAAAATTACAGTTTTATTACAACTTATGTATACTACTTTATCTTTAATATCCACATTTCACAACATTCATATTTCTTCTCTTTTCTATATTAACTTTCTTTGTCAACTGTTTTTGTATAATAAATATTTCTATTAAGATAAAATGTTAGATGTTTAATAAAATAATAAAATAATATATGTATATGTATGTATATATATATATATATATATATATATATATACAAAAAATTATCCTTGACAATCTTTAATTCAATTTGGTAGTAAAATAACACACACTATAATACAATATATGTATACATGCATGCACATAAAATAGTATAAATCAAATAATTATATATGTATATTCAATAATGGAAAAAAATTATACTTTTATAACTGCTACTAATAACACATATTACATGAACATTATACATTTCTATTGTTGCAATGTTATGTTGTAAGTAGGATTTCTTTAGCACACTGTCATCCAACTTGAATATATATATATATCTATATATACATATATATCAAAACCATTACAAACTAGGATGAAATCATTTTATAACATTGTTAGATCTGATCACATGAATGCCATTCAACATCAATTAGTAATAATTTATTTTAGTTTCACATGTGTTTACGACACAATACAATGAAATTGAATTGAATGCAAAAATATAACACAATTGACCAATTAGTGGTTCCTTTAGGCGATCGCCCTAAAAATGAAAAGTAACTTTTTTGGAGGGAAAGAGAGACGAGAAAAAGACGGCTCTCGAATGCCTTGTAGGGGACGCTCCGCTGGTTTGAATTGAAACAGATCAGATCAGCCCGAGTGAGTGCCAGTAGCCATCCCGCTGCGAATCTGCGAACCATTCCGGAACACGCCCAGCAAATCTGCGGACGCAACCGAGACACCACAAATCTCCTCGGAATCTATGTCTTTGAAGACTCTTCTGTGTGGTTGGGTTTCCGGATTTGTTTCGAAATCGGGGAAGAATTTATGGTCATGGTGAAGATAGTTTCAGCTGGGAAATTGGACTGGTGGCGTGTTTTGGTTCAGCAATCAGGAGAGGGACGTAGGTTGAGATCCTTCTGGAGCTTCCGGGAGTGCTATGAATTAGAAGATCTTTTGTCGACGGATAGTGGTTGAAGCTCCCTTAAGTTACTTGCGGTTCCTTGAGGTGGTCTAGCGGAGGTCGAAGCTAATGTAGCGGTTTTGAAGACCAGAGTTCGTGTCGTGATGGCTTATGGGTTGTGTTTAGATTCTGCCTCTTGATCGATTGTCGGAGGACAGGCGTTCCACAGTTGAATTGTAATATACAGGGATTGCTAAAGCATTGAGATCGTATGGCGGGGGGTGTAAAGGACCATGAGTAACGTATTGGCGAAGTGGAGATTCTTTTTTCCGGGGTACTAAGCCAATTTGAATTGGGGTGATTTGGTAACAGTTAGAACCATGCCGACGTATAAGGTTGCAGGCATATCCGTGCAATTTCCATACGATGCCTACGATTGCCAGCTTGTGTACATGGAGCGTGTCATCTCTTCACTGCAGCAGGTTTTTTTTAAGCCCTAAACCCTGAACCTTTGGGATTATGTAAAAACAATGTGGGAGATACGTTGGGATTTCAAAGTTTTTGCAAAATTGTGTAAGTTACTCCAAGATCACATTGCATTTTGTGGTTTTGTTAGGGACGGAATGCTTTGCTGGAGAGTCCCACAGGGACGGGAAAAACGCTGTGTTTGCTGTGTGCGACTTTGGCATGGCGTGAGAGCCTGATACCTCTTCAACAAACGAGTCAATCGTCTCAGCGGGTTACGAGCCAGTCATCCCAGCGAGGTTTGATGAGTCTCAGCCAAAACGATTCTGAGGAGGCACTCCAGCCAAAGTTGCCCACAATTGTGTATTCTTCTCGTACTCATAGTCAGCTACAGCAAGTGATTCGGGAGCTTAAAGCCACGGTCTACAGGTTGGTGTATTTGTGATCCTTTTAATGTATTTGAGCACCTTGGTACGCCTCAAGGTCTAGCTGTGGCATACATAGTTCCCGCATCATATAGAATCCTGCGTTTTAATATTACGGCCAAGACCACGGTTTTGCAGTGTAAGTAGAACATTACGTTAATGCGCTTGTCGAAGTGGATTATTAACAATACGTGTGCAGAATAATTGCGAACCGGATTCTCTTGTTATTATACCTTTCTAAAAGCATGTGATTCATCTACGTACCATGGTCTAATGAGCTTATCATTTCTCACCGAGCAGGCCCAAAATGGTGGTGCTGGGTTCGAGAGAGCAAATGTGCATTCATCGTGAAGTTCAAAATCTACGCGGAAGAGCTCAAAACCATGCCTGTCGCTCACTAACTAAGGGACGAAATTGCAAGCACTACAACGGTGTTGCTGGTATGCATCATTTAATAAGTGAGGGTGAATCGGGTTGCGATTGAGATTCTTTATGAATGTCCTAAGTATCAAACTCTTTGAGAAGCGAGTACGTCAATTAATCCAGGTATGTTTCAACTAAGATGGATTACCGAAATGGTTGCAGACTATGCGAAAAACCACCCTCAACTAGGAGAGGAGCCAATAGATATTGAGGATTTAGTGAAAATTGGCAAAACTGAAGGCCCGTAAGTGTGTCAGATTTATGCAATTCCTTTGTGTTTGATTAAGTTAAGGCAAATAAGGCATTGTTCCGATTCCGAAACTCTATATTACAGTCTTAGCTTGCTCAGTCTATAGACAAGCTCGGACAGCATTACTGCATGGTTGCTTAGCCATGTCGTGGTTTTAATTAACTTGCGGTGGGTATCCATCTGGAGCAGATGTCCATACTTTCTTTCACGTGAGCTTCACAACTCAGCGGACATTCTCTTTGTGCCCTACAACTATCTCATCGAGAAAGAAATGCGGCGGTCTCTAACTGGTGTCTCCTGGGGCAGGACGATCCTCATATTTGACGAGGCACACAATTTGGCAAGTTATGGTGGATTTTGTTGATTTTGGAATATCCAAGTTCTTCATTTAGCTTGAGTATGGTGTAAAGACACATACAACGCTTGCTGTTATCCATCTAATGTCAGCTGTCCAGAGTTTGATGCTCAACAAATTCCTTGATAGTCGAGGGATCGTATCACCAACACATTCGCATTGCCATTGTTCTACTTTGTCCGTAATTTTACAATGGTACGTAAATTGATAAATATAAACTGGGTGCAGGAAGGAATTTGCGCTGATGCAGCTTCATTCGATTTGCCTGCAGCCCATTTGGCTACTTGCATTGCCGAGGCAAGTTCCTGTGTAGATTTAGCTCTAGCACGCAGGGGGAGTGACAATGCAGCTGATACTTCTATAGATCCCGACAATTTTGCGGTTTTAAAAGGTACCGACATACGCTTTAAGAGCTCCCGTGTTTCTTAGGTACTAACAAGTACACTTTTTGATCATTCTAGTGGTAATGCAGACGGGCGGTTGTATAAAAAGTTCTCCAGGTGAGGAAAATCAATGGCTGTGAAAGTGATATTTAACTAACATCACATTTTGAAGTTGCAGCACTTTTGTTAGAGCTGGAGAAGAGGATCAACGAGGTGCCTATTGAATCTGAGTTAGGATTTACCCGCCCTGGTCCTTACATTTATGAATTTTTGGCGGAGATAAAAATCACGTACGAAACTGTTTCTATGCTAATTGATACTATTGATCAAGCCACTGCACTTCTCGAAGATGGTAAGTTGCTAATTGCAATGTGCTTGAGTAGTATTTGTTGCAGTAGGCTAACATTGAGGAGGTGTATACATGTTGATTTCTCGTAGTATTGTTGATTATACATCATCATAGGCTACGACATTGAAGGTCTTAATTCTGTATAAAATTTTACATTCGATCTGCTAGATATTTTTTTAGTCTTCTCAATTTAACGAGGACAAGATCTTCAATGTGTTTCAGAAGCGAATGAGAGAACAGTAGGTGCGAAATCAAAAGCAGGGGGGACTGGGACAATGTATCGTCTGTCAACTTTCCGGGATGCCCTGCGCATCATCTTTAGGGATAACAATGTATCACATGCTGGTTCTTATAAAGTGAGTGTTTGCAAGTACCTTCTAGCAATCATTTGTTTAGAGATTACTCCGCAGTGCTCTTTTCGAGGAACATACCTCAAGAATCTACTGTTAACTCTTTATTAGAAAGTGAACAGACCTACGTATTTGAAGAGCACTGGCCATAAAATGCTGCTATGACACAAATTGGGAACTAAATCAGAGGCGCTTCTCTGTAAATTGACATGACATTAAGCAATCACACATGACGGCTCGTTATGTGTTATCAGGTTCACATCCACGAGCAAAGTGGTAAAGATGGGAACAAAGCTGCTGGAAGAGGTAACTTGTACATTATCACAGCGTAGCGTGTTATTACGTGTTAGTAAACAACTAGTGAGCCCTCGTAGTTGGTTAGATTGAAGAGTTCCTATCTTCTCAGTTTGGTCGTTTTCTTGAGTTAATGATTTTCATTTAACCACCTGATAGGCTATTTGCATAATTTACTTTTGCGTGCTGTAATGTAAAGCATTGATTAGGTCCCCTGGTTTATTCACCGCAGGAAATAAGAAAGGGCGCATGTTGAGCTGGTGGTGTTTTAATCCTGGTTTAGCAATGGAGGAGTTTTCGAAGATGGGCGTGCGCTCTGTCATACTGACTTCTGGAACATTAGCTCCTTTGGAGTCCTTTGCTATTGAATTGAATCTGTGAGAATCAGAACTCTTACACGATAGTACATTGTAGTTGAGCAAGCAGTCTCTGCTTAGCTCTTTTTCAGTTGTGTTGCGTACTATTTCTCTAGGTCTCCATTTACCTTTTCTATTAAACTGCAGAGCGTTTGACGTCAGACTCGAAAACCCTCACGTCATTGATGCGAGTCAAGTGTGGGTTGGAGTTGTTTCTAATGGTCCTTCTGGACGACCCTTAAATTCTTCTTATCGGAGTCGTGACTCCATCGAATATAAGCTCGAGCTTGGAAATACAATTGGTATGATTTGTTCGTTCAAACAAAATGCAGTTTTCTCACTGCATGGCTATCACAATATGCGATAGAGACAGAAGGGTCTCTATGTTCTGTATCATTTTTACTTCTTATTTACTTATTAATCAGTGAACGAGCAGTGATGAACAGAAGCAATGGCATCGAAGTAACATTTCTCTACCTGTTGTCTTGCAGTCAATTTTGCACGCATTGTGCCTGACGGTGTGCTTGTTTTCTTCCCATCCTATTATCTCCTCAATTCTTGCATTGAAGCTTGGCAGACAGTGGTAAGTGTTTTGTTGGACATGTATCTTGTATACCATGTATCTTTTCCTTCTCATTCCCATTTGGTCTTGTTTGTATGCTTTTGTCGATGTTTTAAGCCCGCTTTGAGGAGCTTTTTGTTGCAGACCTCTGGACCAGCAGCTACAGTTTGGGAGCGTATTTGTAGGAACAAGCAACCTGTTGTTGAGCCTAAGGAGTCGGCTCTTTTCAATCAAGCTAACGAGGTCAAATAACTGAATTGTCAATGTTGGGATCTTCTGAACAGTTTAACCTTTTGTGCTTGGGATAAGGTCTCCAATCTCTGTGCAATAGTGTGGTAAATGAACTTGTACTCATCAAGGGCTGTATTGGCGTTAAATGTTATGTGCAGGATTTCGTGGCTAAAATCAACGACCCTACCTCTACAGGGGCTATTTTCTTTGCTGTTTGTCGAGGCAAGGTGCTCTCTCTCTCTCTCTCTCTCTCTCTCTCTCTCTCTCTCTCGTTTTTGGTGACACGATGTGATATTTTCAGCTGTTTCATCTTTGATTGCCCTGATAATTTTGTAAATTCAAAATTCATTTTTAATTGCACGATTGTAGATGTTAATATCTCACACAATGTATTTTTAGCTCACGCACGCCGCTTGCTTACCTGTAAAGGTGAGCGAAGGACTTGATTTCGCAGATCGATCAGGGCGGGCTGTCGTTGTGACCGGAATACCTTTTGCTATGAAGATGGATCCTAAGGTCTTTCTCATTCATTAATACTGTTCTCTATTTGGACGAGTCGCATACTCAAGTTCTTCATTTAAACTCAATCTGTTACCAGAATGCTCAACATGCTGCAGTGAATTTCTTAGTAAAGAAGTATTGTTTGGTGTGGCAGGTGAGGTTAAAAAGAGAGTTCCTTGACGAGCAGGCTCGTTCACGTATCACAAAACACAAGGTGATTTATATCCATATTGAATTCACTCTGCAGAGAATACTATCATGTGTGTGAACATTCTTTGTCTTTTGATTGCTATGATATGAACAGTTGTTGTTCAGGCCAGTGGCTGACATGGCTGAGAAATACCTGATGTGTTAATTTCTTCATCCAAATAATTCTGATGTTGATTGGCTGTGTCATCAGTAAATTATATTTCATGTATATACTAAATTACCTTGTTGGTTTGTACATTCACAGGTTTTAACTGGGGAAGAGTGGTACGTCCAGCAAGCTTCCCGGGCAGTTAACCAGGCTGTGGGACGTGTGATCCGTCATCGCAATGACTACGGAGCTATCATTCTTTGTGATGAAAGGTCTGTTTTAAATATCTAACCTTCCGAAAACTGTTTGAACTTCTACGTTGCTTCTACGATTTTTTTTTTTTTTTTTTTTTTTTTTTTTTTTTTTTTTCAATCATCTATGCATGTGTATTCTTCTTACCATGAACCAAATGAAAATTTCAAGCTACTTTGCAGGTTTGGTCAATCAGGACCACAAAGTCAAATGTCACTTTGGCTAAGGCCGTACATTAAGGTTAGTCTTTAGTTATCCTCTTACTAGTGAAACAATTTCCTTAAATCTTTGTCTTTTCATTCGTCTACTTTTGATTTGATTTCTGTCTTAGGTTTGGGTCGAGAACTTTGATTTAGTTTTCCAAATAAAAGATGGAATCAGTATTCACGTCTCACTAATGGTCGAGTTTCGTCTTTGGAAAACATAGACCTATCATAAATTTGGAGATGCAGCTTTCAGTCTGACACGGTTTTTTAAAGATAGAGATACTCTTGGTGGACCTTTGAAACCGTCTAGTGCAGTTGGTACCGCTACAGGTTTGTTTGTTGATTTGGATACTGTTTTTGTTATTTGTTTAATTATTATTATTATAGTTTGTTAACAGTAGTAACTTGTACACGAATTAACTCATTGAAGCGAACTTGTGGCATGAATATGAAGTCATGATGTGTTAAAACCTGTTCATTCGAATACCGTGTTACAGGTGGTCATGATTATACACGGGTTGTTCAACAAAAAAATTCTACTGTCATCAACTTCGGTGCGGCCACTAACCCCCTTCGTTTCTTGCAGACTACTCCTGGTACGCATGGCCATAACTCTAGCACTCTACTGTCTCTTATTCTTCTTCTTATAGGTTGTACCTTTTCCAATAACCATTGTATCTGTTTCAGCTTTGAGCTTGCAAAGCTCCAAGGATGGTGCTGCTCTGGAGAAAAGTGGTACTAGCATTGGTGGGCTGAAGAACTCTATGCCTGCAGTCAGCATCTGCTCCTTATAATTCTGAGATTTGCTCAATTTCAACTTTTGGTGGAAGCCATGAGACTACACACTCTGTGTACATATTTGATATACAATCTTGCTCTTAATGCTGACGTTGCGGATTTTATCAGTACTCGGACATAAAATTTTACGAATATATTGGACATACTGGATTTAAAAGGATATTTCCTTGTCAATTTGTTTTTGCAGGGGTCTATTTTTCTCCCACGTCATCATGAAGACACGGGGGCTTTAGCATCTCGTGAATCTTTGTCAGCGTTGCTAGCAGCCGATCGAGTATCAAAGAGCAGTCAGCCTCTGAAAGACGTGGCCATCACTGCTGCGAATTGTGCAGTTGGAAGCACTGCTGGATTGGTCCATTTGTCGGGCGGCTTTGCAGCTAGTAAAGGAGTTATGGCTGGGCAGAGAATTCTTGGTCCAAATCCCAGTAGAAGGCTCAATGAACTTCAAAGTTTGTCTATCTACTTCCCTCTTTCAATCTCCTGAATAAGTACCAAAGTGATAGCTAGTCCACATCAATACATCATATGCTTCTAGTAAATTCAGTATAACTTCCCTTTCTTTGATATTCTTAATTCTTGTGATGAACTATTCTAACAATCCAATTGAATCTAAGTAATGGATTGCTTTGACTGCTCTAGATGCTCATACCTTTTTACAGAACTTCAAATGACGTCCGTATCTAGATTTATTATTTGGAGACTCATGTTGAGGTTATGTTTAGGTTCAGGTGGACAAGCTTCAACTGATCATTCACGACCACCAGAAGCCTCTTCGAAACCAGATGACATTGCAACTTCATATCTGAAGGATATTGGCTCCTGCCCTTGTATTGGTCCAAAAGCGAGCAATCGATGCAAGGAAGAAACGGAGGTCGCTGTCATGGCAGAAGATATCATACCCACTGATCAAAAGGAAGGAACACGTAAGGATGCGATACCCAAGGATGACAAGAATAGAAGGGCTGCTAACTTCTTGAAGGAGGTATTGCAAGTCATGTCTAATTAAATTAAATTATGTCATTTACTTCTTTTTACCTTGAGAGTATTTGAAGTCGTGTGATTTTTTACTTATGATTTTTGCTATGGGTCTTTCTGCTGCTAAGCAGGTTAAGGGGCGTCTTAGCTCTGGAGAGTACAAGGGATTTCTGGAATGCATGCGAGGTCTGAAGAACCAGTCTATCGACATGAACAGGCTTCTACAGTCAGTTGGGAATTACTTTTCTGCTCCGGAACGCTTGTATCTATTGCGAAGGTTCCTCATATGTTTTCCCTGATCGACTCTTGGTGTATAGTTTTACTCGTCTTTGGGCTACTTATATCCCTTTCAGATTTTAGGAAGAGAATAACTCATTTATGGAGCCTTGCATTTTTTTTAACGCTTTAGTGAGAATCCTTGACGTTGGTTGCTACTGGGCAATGGTTATAAGCTGTCTCATTCTGGAGTATTAGGTGCTTGTAAATTTGAAACTCGAATTTGTGACGTTGATCTACCAGTTTTGGAGAGTTTGTACCAAGTAAGCACCGTGCTGCTTACGAGAATCTACTGGCAGCCAAGCATTCGGCTCGTGGAGTTCCACTAGGTTTTGTCGTTACCTTTTTCTTAAGTCTGAATCTTTGAATGCCAATATGCCGTAAAGTTGAAAGTTAACGGAGTTTGAGAAAGCTTAAGTATTATGCAGGTATTCAGTAATTGATGTTACGTGGCGTCGTGCAGATAATCTCGCGTGTCAGAATTCCAGCAAGCAACCTGTTTTCGGTTTCCCTAGTAGAAGTCGGAAGCTTCCCCCAACTCTTTCACCCTCTGAGACGCGACCATTGAAAGAGACTAGAACGACTTCCAATACAGGTGCACTTTCTGGCTAAAGCTTGTTAATTGGTATATTCTGCATTTTTAACAACATAATGCCTTAAGCTGATTATTTCTTTCCCTTCAGTTGCAAGTCGCGGAGTGCCATGAGACATGGCTTTGGCAACTTTCCAGTGTATCAGCATAATAGTCACGCTTTTGTCCAACATTCATTGGAGGTACATCCTCAACCATTCTTAAAAGAGTAGATTGTATGGGTTGTTCATACTTGCATGATGATGGAATTTCCCACTATCTTCTTGTTCCACTCTTCACTTACCGCCCACGCTTGGTTTTGAAATCAAATGCAGCTTATTCATCTGTAGGTGGCATGAAAAGAGGTGACACTTGTTTAGCAACCCCGTCCAGCTTCGATGAAAGTTTGGCTTAGATCTTCAATTCAATTGTTGAAGAAATGCGTTCTTTAGGTCTCATACTACGCCATTGGTACATCATACCACTTTTCATGGAGCTGGTTGTACTTGATTTCAACACGCGTTCCCAGAGATGAGATTATCATAGCCCCTGGAAGAGAAGTTGACGTCGTGAGGACAGTTGAGGAGAACACATCATTTTCTTGAAGCGATTATGCAGTAAGGTACTGAAACAAACGAGCATAATAGGTGTAGTAGCTTGCACCAATCATGCTCTGTAGTGCAGTCGACGTTGAAACTGTAATCAAGTTAAGATTCTATGGCAAGAATATTGATCAAAATTTGTATACTCTCAGATGTTTCCACAGTTATAAAAGATACTGTTTTTATGAAATCTGACACAATTTCCAGTAAATGGGTTACCGAGTCGAATCTCCATCCCTCACTGCACATTTGGTTGTGAAAAGCATGGTGTTAGTCTAGTAGAAACCATTGAAATCGTCACATGGACAGATGTCCTCAGCCATGGCAGGGCGTCCACGCATGGAGAAATCAGGTAGTGGGCCGGCAGCGTACCCGCTGCCTGCCCCGTGCTCTGCCTGCTTGAAATTTTTGTCATTGTTGAACATTGTTTCACATTTCACAATTTAGCACTGTATCTCTTTAATGTTGCTTTCTGAAAACCAACCCATCAAAAGAGATTTGTGCTTCAATTGAAAATGCTCACGGATCAATGTTATTGTAAGATCTCGTTCTCAGCTCATTATTGATTGTCAGTGTTAATTGACACTGAAAATTTATGAGCTTCATATTATATTCATGAGTTTATTCATCAGTGTTTGTCCTCATGAAGACAATTTGGACGAAATAAGTTGCAAAATTGTTCATTACTGATCTTTGTCCTTTGCGTCGGTTGGTTCTTTCTATGAAGTCTGTCAATTGCGACCAGTTTGGTAATTCTTGTGATAACATTAGGTGCGTTGCTGAATGCACTCAAAATGTGCACAAATGAGGAATTATGAACACATCTTACAAAGCAATCAATTGCAACCTCTCCTCCAGCATTGAGAGATGTTGGAAATCAATTTGCTCATGTTTGAGAACTTGTTAGTCAAACTTGTCTCCTCATTATACAATTTGAAATTGGTATAGAATTGTAAGGCTATTAAATCTGGAGCCAAATCTGGAGACAACTAAGGAGGACCAGACTCACATTAATATTGTAAATTGTAGAATCATGAATCTTTGGGGATTTGGACACATAATTGTGAGATTATTGTTCAAGATTTTCACAAAAATTTACTTGCCTGCTCTTCAATATAAGAAGATTACAAACAGCACAACCATAAAAATCAAACATGATTATAAATATCGACACAATGAGATTGTAATCAATAATATAAGATCACCAATACCAACAAGGAGGAAGAGGAAAAAATAGCATGGAACAATGTTAGGGAGATGAAATTAAAGCTTCTTATTTTTGTTAAGTACTTATTGATTTTGTTGAATACTTCAATGTTAATATGAGTCATTGTTTTAAGTTATTTGATTTGATTTGATTTGATTCTTTTTCCTCCCAAAAAACAATTTTACTTTATTTTATATTTTTTTCAAAATAAAGTTTTTTCAAGCAAAATCTTCAATTATTGTTTATATAATAAATAAGCTAAAATCTTTATACCATTCAATACATACAAGCAACATTCAAACAATTTATTATATCAAGCAAAATTTTTAGTCTCTACTGAATAATACAGCATTACAAGTGTTATTAGAAATACCTCAAATGGCTTATGCTATGAGATGATTAAGAAAACTAATGATTGTTTGTATCCAAAAAAATACGCAATATTACGTACACAATTGTTCAAATTTTCCAACTATTCTGAAGTGAAAAAAAAGAAAAAAGAAAAAAAGAAGTCTTGTCAGCAAAACAGAAGCCATGATATGTAATGTTGACTTAGTAAAATAACATTTGATGAAAAGATCTCATTTGCAACAACTATATGCCAAAGGTTCATTTCTCTTTTCGAATAAAATGAAGGCAACGATTAGATGCAACTATTGCTTTAAGAATTGGGTGTCAGTTGAAAGGATGAGCATTCAAACTCGGAAGAAAAGAATCAACTCACACTGCTGCAAAACTGTGAGTACTTTGCAAGTATCAAATGGCAGGTGATGTGCACTCTGTTAGAGCAACTCAACTGCTTCAATATCAGCTCACCAATCTCTCATCAGGCAGTCGCTCTTAAGCAAGATCCACCGCCAACTTCAAAAATCTACAATACTTCTCAAATTCATATACTTACCACAGTCGGTATCACAGGAACTACATAATAATATATGTAGTTGAGCCATATTATAGTTGTCCAGACGCAGCTCTGCATCGTGCAACTGCTTCTGAGCACCAACTCAAGCATTAATACCAAGTTTCAGGCCATTTCTGCGCCATGGAACCCACTTCAATCGACAGGAAACTTGCACTGTTTCGACGTGACTAGTTCAGTTCCAGCTCACGTAAGCTCCGTTGGGTAGCTGCTCAAATCCGCGAAGCCAGAGTCCAAACCCTCAATTGATACGTTGCTAGAATCCCATCTAAAGAGGATTTGAGGTGTTGCACACAGTCGACACCACATACAATCGATACCACACATTTTAACCTAATCTTAATGATGTACCGTTGTTGCTAGCCAGCTTGTAGTGGAAGAGGTGGTTCATCCCAAACAAACCTCAGATCTCCCGCAGGCATATTAGAATGAAATACTGGTCCTAGAGTCCCTAATGCATCCACCTATCACATGCACAATACAAAAACAAGCCATTATTTGAGCTGTGCACAGTCATCCACAATCCATCAATCGGAAGAGAAACAATTAAACCACATGATTAACCAGCATATTTCAACGTCTCACCAATCTCAACCTCTTTACGAAGCACGAGCTCTTCACTTTTAATGCAAGGAACAGTTCACTTCGTTGCATAGAGTAAATGCCCGTTGCTAAGCTCAACCTCATGCCTTACAATATTTCAGAAACTGCGATCTATCACATTATCCTTTACTAGAAACTACCACAAGAGTTAGCTCTTTGAACACGTACTCTTTGCCACTCCTTTTCCTCGAGGACCACAATAGATGATCCAACACCAGTAAATTTCAGAAACCCAGTTTTCAAATACTGTGATATCTGCCAACTCCACACGCAGAAAAGCAGAAATACACGCACAGACACATATCTATATATATATATATATATATATTCACATACATACACAAGCAGAACTACCTTTTGCTCCATCAGAGTTATGACATGAGTAAATCCATGTTCTACTTCAAGTGGTCGTCCATCACCACCTTGCACACGGTGGGGTCTGGAATGATAACGAGAGCACATTCTCAAGAACATTAATGGCCATCTCTGTCGCGACCTGGCGTCCGTGTTCTTTGTTGTGTTAGGAACTACAGGGTCCGCGGAAGACTTTCAAGCTATCTTCTTCTGTCGATTCCGGCATCACGTCCTATATAAACAAGCCTTCGGTGTCATACGTCTTGCCCCTGCCTCTGTGCAGCTACAGCTGTTAGTTCTCTCCACCATGGCTATTGAACCTAAGTAATCACCTAGCTGAATAACCATGAGACGATAGTGGATTTTAAACTATAATTCTGAGCTGCCATGAAACCGACAAACGGAGTGTCACGGAAAATTCCAACACCCTCAAGCTTAATATCCATGAAAACGGTCGAGTTCAGGCTGTGAGTGGGACAAGACTTCCTTTCAAGGACATGGATGTACGCGAATTGTGCTGAGCAAAGGGATTGATAGATGTGCCACGACCACCCTACAGCCGCAAATTTTGGAGTTTGTTTTCGATTACTTCATGAATGTACCAATTAAGTCTGCGAAACAACTCCTCCACAATCAGCCATTTCGGTCCAAACTTACAGCCCCATACTTGCTTGAAATGCTCCAAACAAATGCATCGGTAGCTACAGCTGTAGACCGATGCATAACTGGCATTTCAGAAGTAATTAATACGTATTAACTACTTCTGAAATGACTAGCCAAAGTACATTGTTCAAGATGGACATGTTACACCCATTCAATCTCAACAGAACTTCCTCTCCGCAGCACTCAACCTCCGCAAACAACCTCTAGCTCCTCGCATGCTCCATAATCAACTATCCCTACATACTGACCCTTGTGCTCGACGTTCTCGGCATCACGCGCCACATGATTCTCGGCACTCCACATTTACTACTCGTTACTCGTAGAAAATTGTAAACCCACGCGTACTCGGTGTTCTGGTCTAACTACATCATTTCCCCGCTTCTTGTGCTATAGATCAAGCCACCCTCCAATTTAAATCTGAAATGAGGTGCTTCCCTTCTGCTACTTTCAACCTACTCATTTACAATGTCTATTATTCCCACTCCCAGGATTTGAACTGCCCCGGCGACTAGTTGTAATACACGTAGCGCCTGTAGAAGCCATCCTCCGGCGCGTTTGGCAGCGGCGGATAGTCGTAGTAATCTCGAGGCCAGTACGATTGGCTTGGGGTATAGTCTCTAGGAATCCAGGTGGGTGCGGAAAACCCCGACCCTGCCCAATGCACGGGTCCCTTGCCCCACCAAATGGTGCTGATCGAGGGCGGCAGCGTCTGCTCCATCCTCTTTTGCTCTTCTGCTTCCTTCTTCTTCTTCTTCTCCTCAGCCTCCTTCTTCTTCTTCTTCTCCTCCTCCTTCTTCTTGTCGTCCTCCTTCTTGGGCTTCTCCTTGGCGTCCAACTCCACGAACTTGGCTTTCCTGTGGATCTTCCTCGCCTTTCTCAGAACCTCGTGACAGTCAACCTCGATCGGCTTCGGCATTTTCACCACCACCACCTTAGAGGGTCTCTCTGCCCTTACGTTGAACACGCCGGGCACCTCGCGAATTTCTTCCACCACCTTCTCCACGCACTTGGAGCAGCACATTTTCACCTTCAGCTGCACTTTCTGCAAACACCCAGGGTCGCGCAATGGTGAGAAATGGGGTGACAATCAAACAGGGTAAGGCGCACAATCCTAGCTGCAGGCACAGGTGCATATTTGCAACGTGCTAGCCAGCATACATCGAGTCCTAGAGTGAGCGAACGAGACGCGAGGTGGTAGCAACGAAGCGATCAAGCAATTTCGGTGGACTTCTTGAGAATCTTGAGGTGCCAAGAATTTCGAGCGACATTCGAGGCGAGAAGGAGGGTGAAGTAGATACCTCGAGGTTGTTGATGTTGACGGCGAGTTGCCATGCGTGATTAGGCCACATCCACTCGGGAACTTCCTTGAGCTCCTTGAAATAAATCTGCACGAACCGTGAAAATTGAACATGTTAGCACAGCTGTGTAGGATGCAGATCTCTCTTTCACTATCCCCTTTCTTGACTGATAGCATACGAACCAACTCCACTCTAGAAAAAGAACAGTAACTTCTCTCTTCGGACACGCGGACTTCAGCCCACTCAACAGCATTACAAATCAGTTTCAAAATCTAGAAATCCCCCGAAACGACAATCTAGTCCCAGTCTCCGCCGCAGATGCAGCAAAACCACCACCACCACCACCAACTACACAAACCAGAGCTATGTCCCACATCTCCAGTTCTTGACCCACCTCCCAGTACTCACTAAGAATCCAGACACAACAAAGTCACAAACTTCTAAAACGAGAGTAGCTGTAAACGCAACTAATCCATAAACCTGAGGAATGCATGGGGGAATCATGTGAAACTTACGGGAACGTTATCCATGGCTGCAGATTGAAGTACTGAGTGATTCCTTGCGTCGAATTCTTCCGCTGCACCCACAATTCGAAATGGCACTGTAGGAAGGCGATGAAGCAATGTGACTGAACAACAGCAGCTGCAGCGATGCTGTATGTTTATGAGAATGGATGAGTGAGCGCAGACATGATTGTGTGCAACTCGGGGGCAGTGTTGAGTGCTCGCGCTGCGTTGCAAGCGCAGCGGGTACTGGTCTGTGATTTATACAGGAGCCCTGTCCTTTGCAGTATTTCTTTCCTTCCCCTTTCTTTTGCAGTATTTCTTTCCCCGCACCCTGCCCCCCACCCCCTTCCTCCCTTCCTTTCTCTCCTTTCTATTTCTTTCTACTCCTTGTCTTTTTCGTTTTCAAGTGTTCACATGATCATTTGCTATTTCAGAGAAAGAATCATGTCTGGTTCTGAGCATCATTTCAGTTTTTAGCTTTGTTAGTACCTGTGAGTGTCTGTATCTTTCTCTTTCATGATTTTTCATTCTGTCTGGAATATTTTTTGTCATTTTTATTTATTTCTGTATATATATTCTGTGTTTTTTTAATTAAAAATTTGTATTTCCATGCACAGATTGTACAATTCTATTGTACAGCTTTATTGGAATACATTGGTGTTTTTCGTTTAGCTGAGTGCGGTTGATACTTTTCTATATTATTGAATGAGATTCCTTTTACATACAAATATAAATATATACACATACACAAATACACACAGACATCCAAAAGAGCAACTATGAAAAATCAAAACAAGTCTCGGCATTCCTTACCGAAAGTCAACTGACGTGAACAATAGTTTTTTGCTACATCTTGATATTGAAAAAACTGAATGTATGGAGAATATTAGTTAATTATTTTCTTGTATTTTGTAGTTATTATTGGTTGGATTGTTTATTTTTGTTTATCAAATTTCATTTTGAACTTTTGAACCTTTGATCACCTTCAGATTCTACATACATTTGACTATAGATACACACATCTTGAAGGAGTCATAAATGAATACAAAGATCTTGATCATTGAAAACACAATCAACACAACATTTAAAAACCATCGCAATCTACAGCAGTCAAAATCTACTGTAATTGTGCACTCTTAATCACACTACCAATGTCAAACCCAAACAACAACAAAAACAAACAAATAATTCAACAACCATACTACCACACACCCAATATAAAAACAAGAATAAAAAACATAAGAGAGTGCATGCGTTTACCAAGAATTTCTTTTTGAAGACAAAAAAGTGAACTTGATCCAAAAGCAAGTCCCACTAATAATAATCAATGAAACAAGGATGAGTAAGTGTATGTGTATACATGTTTATTTCATCTACAACTCATTGACTCCCGTTCCAAACTATGCGGACAAGATCCCTCCACTACAACAAACCCTAATATATATATATATATATATAATAAGTGCCGCAGTGTTGATTGGATGAGGCTTTACCGACACACACACACACACATGTATATATATATATATATATTTTTTTTTTATTGTGTGACGCGCAGTCATCTCATGGCTCCGATTCAGGAGAGCGGTCTGAACCCGTCGTTGTCCAAAGGTTAAGCAGACACTTTGCTGTTGTGTGTCCTAAAGGCTCTGAACCCTCCGAGCATTTGAATTGCAGCATCCATTTGAATTGCTGCATCCATTTGAAACTTGCGCATCCACACCATGAGGAGAGAGCTTCCAGGACAAGCAACTGAGCTTCATGGATTACCCGGAGCTCTATTAAACTTCTTTCCCAAGTTGAAAACCTACTTTTTATCTTCTTCTTCTTCAAGTTTCTTTTCCTAAAACAGTGGAATCGATAATGATCTTCTTCGTCTCTATCCAACTAAGACTGTTCTTTACTCCCCAGGCCTAGAAACTCAAATTATATTGCATGGAAGTGGAGAGCAAGGCTATGATGCCTAGTTAGGGCCTTCACTAGCTAATTTGCTGAAGAACCTCGCCGATCCCAACATGGGCCATTTTTAACCGGAACTGTTTGTTGGTAGTTGCAGACAGACGACCAGAAGCCGTTGATGATTCAAATCTAATGATGATCATTTCCTACATTGGAAAAACATTTGAACCTCGGGAAGGAAACCGTGTCGCGGTTGACAGGAGAAAAGAATATTATCAACATAACGTGTGGGCCCAATTTTGGCAATAGAGAGGTAATGCATTCGCAACGTATTGAACACCGCCAGCCACGGGCAGGTGATAGGATGGAATTCCAAGCACATGGAGGAATCAGGTCCCTCATGATTCGACAATAAGACCAGGGATATGAGTCATTTTCTCTTCTCTCCATTCACTTGGCGTCAGCCACGATGACTCACCAAAACTCGAGGAAAAGTAGCCAGATTTAGACTTTCTAAAAGAACACGTGGTGGTGTCGGCAAGTCATGCAGACGAATATTTCCAAACTTGAATGTTCGCTTTCTGAAGCAAGGGAACCATCTACGGACGGCATTCTTGAGCAGGGGGCCAAAGCCGGTGTTACCGGATAAGCGCAAAGTAAGATCCCTTCCATGAAGTGAGAAAAGTTATTGGGATCTTAGTTTACTCATCGACATGTACCCAAAATACAAAATAGCACCGTGACTTGATGTGAAATCGAACCATTTATTTTCCCGATTGCCTCCTAGATTTCGTCCAAGAAAACCTCTTGGATTGATACTAAGCACAAAAAGCGGTCGGTTGGTTACTTTCTACTCTATGGTGGTTAATCATCGATGATCTACCTCTACAAGTGTACTCATACTGTAAATTACTGTTTTCATTGCGATCATAACGGAATGCGCATGGTTTGCACGAAATTACGCAGTTGAGAATGAAGATTTGTCCCCCAAAACACATCTCTACCCATTTAATTACGGTGGCGTTTAAACTTCGAATCCTTGCGGAGGTTCCAGAAATAAAGTTCCACAGACATTCACCGGACCTCTTTTGACTTTAGACCGCGTAATATAAGATATTGTTTTGGTGATATGTAATGGGACCTTCATCCAAGGGACTGTTTTCGTGCAGCGCTTTCGTCCATGGTGCGAAAGTTCCAGTCTTCTGGATTTAAAAGCGAACACGCCTGCCAGTGGGGAACTTTGCAACTTACGATTGTGTGATGTGTGCACCTGTAACAGCGATGTCTGTATGGCAGCAGACTTGTGGGTGTTGAGTTTCAACCGTCTGAGTCGATACGCCGGAATTCCCTTCCTGTTACACGGATGAATCCACGGTGGATCAAGATTAAATGCCGCGAGTTTCGTGAGTCTTAAGAGACTGACTTGATGTTTCCTAGAGCTATAAGATCCTGGATGCCGAGCAAGAGTTTCAAAGCACTCTCACTGCTTGATCTCACATTCGATTTTGACACCGTGTCAGTGCTTCTCCAAGAGTAAAGGACTTCAAAAGACTTAGTTCACTGCACGCAGAGCTGACCGGGGACCCTAACTACTTCCTCGCAAAACGTAAAGGAATCTGATACTCTCTGCCTTCGTTTCAGCGCCTAGTTGGAAACGTGGACGTCGGCGTTCGGGCGAGGTTTTCTGCTAGCCTTCAGGGTTTTAAGGAGTGGGTCGTTTCGGTACTCCGCTCGCAAGTAGCGATGGAGTACGACCAACAGTACGCGGTAAGCAACTGCTGACAATTTCTTGCAGTTCTTGTGTTTTCTTGCTTGACAGGCCTTCAGCGACGTCGCAGTTGTGAGTAGTGCGGAAATCTTGGAAGGAATCTACCGAGTGATGTGTTTGTGCTTCTAAGGCAGCCGTCCTCTGTTGGTCGGGGCTTACATTCAAGCAATCGTTGTTTAGAATTCAAAGGTTTTCACGGGAAAATGACTTCCAAGATAGGACAAGGAGAGATACCGGATGAGAGTTTGGCGCCCGCTCAGGTGTGCTTACATTTTAAAATTCTTTACGATTCGTGCAGATTTTTGCCAAGGAGGCCAAGGATGTGCCCGAGTGGATGAAGGCTCACCACGATTGGCAAAGCGCGGTCAACATCAACAACCTCGAGGTATCTACTTCACTCTCTCCCTCGCCTCAAATGTGTCTCAAGCTTCTTCACACTTTAGGATTCTCAAATAGGCCATCGCAATTGCTCTCTCGCTTCGTTGCTTCGCTTACCCCGAGGCCCAATCACTGCTGGCTAGTTCGTTGCAGTTATGCACCTGTGCCTGCAGCTAGGATTGTGCGCCTAACCCTGTTTGATTGTCACCCCATTTCTCACCCTTGCGCGACCCTGGGTGTTTGCAGAAATTGCAGCTGAAGGTGAAAATGTGCTGCTCCAAGTGCGTGGAGAAGGTGGTGGAAGAAATTCTCGAGGTGCGCGGCGTGTTCGACGTAAGGGCAGAGAGACCCTCTAAGGTGGTGGTGGTGAAAATGCCGAAGCCGATCGAGGTGGACTGTCACGAGGTTCTGAGGAAGGCGAGGCAGATCCACAGGAAAGCCAAGTTCGTGGAGTTGGACGCCAAGGAGAAGCCCAAGAAGGAGGACGACAAGAAGAAGGAGGAGGAGAAGAAGAAGGAGGAGGAGAAGAAGAAGGAGGAGGAGAAGAAGAAGGAGCAGACATTGGCGCAATCAGTGAGCGGAATTTGGAGGGGGATGGCACCTGTGTCATGGGGAGGACCGGTGTTTTTCCAACCCGCCTGGGGACCCAATGACTACACCCCAAGTCAATCGTACGCGCCACGCGAGCACTACCAGTATCCCCCGCTGCCGAACGCGCCAGAGGACGGATACTACAGGCGCTATGTGTATTACAACTAGATGCAGGACAGGGGCAGTACAAAGTGTGGGAGTGGGAGTGATGTGTGTATATATTGATTTATATATATATATATACACACTGTACAGAGGTAAATTCAAAGTAGCAGAAGGGAAGCACCTCATTTCAGATTGAGATTAGAAGGTGGCTTGGCTTGTAGCATAAGAAGTAGCGGAACGATTGAGGCACTCATTGTGTACTCAGTGTTTTACAATATTTTACGAGTTACGAGTACAGTGTGCGGAGAGCCAAGGGTTGAGTGACGCGTGAGGCCGGAAAGGGCGAGCACAAGGGATAGTAAGTAGGGGTAGTTGATTAAGGACCATGCGAGGAGGAGTTACAGATGTTTGCGGAGGTGGTTGCGACGCTGGAGGTTCTAGCTCCTACTGCGCAAGATGCAGGATGTTGGGCGGTTAAAACACAAAATTCAAAGAAAGCTCCCACTGAGAGAGTTGTAGTGTTCATGTCTCTCTGTGGGAGCGTGTGAAGTTGATGGATGGTATGGTCGATTGCCGAGGTAGCCAATCTGCTGGAGTTTTTTCAGTGCTGTGAGTCAATTGCTGCATGAGTTTTTTTAGTTTCGAAGACCGTGTGGGGGTGATGCAAACCTTGACCAGAAGAACAGCCCCTGCGTGTCATTCTTAATGGAATGGAATATTTTATACATCGGTTGTTTTTCAGCTGTTTTTCATGATCTGTTCTGTTCATTGTTTGACCATTTTATATGCACCAGAATTACGCTCTTCGATTGAGTTAACTATCAATAGGCGATATGTTATCAGGAATTGCCATGGCGGGAGGCTTTTCCTTCACTTCAGGATGCATGAGTTTGGGCAAAATCTCGCGGTGTTCGCTCACGCAATCACACAATCTCCGATCTTTGATGAAGTAGTAGAATGGTTGTGTTGATTGTTGTGTTGATTGTTGTGAGACACGAGAGTGCCATCTTCGAGGATTCAGAGCCACCAGCTTATTCTTCAAGAAAGGTTCTGGTTGATGTGAAGCTCCCTGATACTCGTCTCAGATTCGTCTAAACATGCTAATGGATTCTCGTTGGCAGAAGTGCAACCGGAAATTGGGATTACAAAATGCATCGTTTCGGTTTTTCTTCTTACTCCAGCAGATAATCCTTGATGTTGATGTTGAGATTAACACTACCACAATGCATATGTCCGTTTGATTTACAACAGAAAAAGCCTGGTGTTGATGTGCTGATCAGTGTGTTGTTTTCAACACATATGATGGGATCGAAGGACATGTCAGAGACAAACAATGATATTTTGAGTATGTCAGAAGACGTGCGCCAGAAATTGGGATATTGTTTAGTGATATTTCCTTTAATAATCAAGACCATGAAGCACATATTCGCTTCAAAGTTTGACTCTGAAATAACAATTGGTGGAGGGGGGAGGGGTTGCAAATCATTGCGGTATGGTTAGAGTGTGGTTGTTGCAATCTGTTATGTGTGCTAGTATTAAAACAACACCTTTGAGTAGGAAATGTAAGTCATGGTGGTAGGGTTTTTGTAAGAGCAACAAAGAAGTAGGAGTCATGGAAGTTCATTCAGGGTTTGGATTAGGTAATCAATTGGAAACATATAAGTAATATGCAAAATCAATTATGTATTGAAAATCTCCATTTTGGATGCTAGTTGAAGGAGCAGTAAAGTAATTGTGTAGAAGGTGCCAAAGACAAAAGGTTTAGAAATATGTGGAATGTTTTTAAAAATCATCTTTAGCCAAAAAAACTTTAGGTTTGAGGTAAGATAAAGTCAAATTTATGTAAGAAAGATAATACTTGGTGAAGAATTAGTTTTTAGTTATTCATTAGCTATGGTAGTTAATTGGTGAAAATTCTCTTTTAAATTTATATCGAAATATGATTCAAAGATAGTAGTAAATATATCAAACTAAGAATAAATAGTAAAATATAATGAGCTTGTAGCCTAAAAGAAATTCTTTTTAAGAAATATATAGTTCTTAAAAAATACATTATAAAATATTATTTATAAGTATTTTAGATAAAATTGTTATACAAAAGTTTTGGAATGGCTTCTAAAATTTATCATATAGAAAATATGAAGGAAATTTTACAAATCCAATTGTAGATTTTAAACCAAAAAAGAAATATATATATATATATATATATATATATATATAATTACTAATATAAAAAGTCATCTCTTCTAATCTTATTTTATTGCAAATCCATATATTTAGAAGTAAAGTGCAAAAACTTCATTGTAGTTATGTACATATTTAATCTAAAGCCATTTTTTTTATATTTTTTTTATTAAAGCATTAAAATTTAAAATATAATCTATAAGCTTAATAATAGATAAGAAAATATTAATAGATTTTAAGACGCCTAAATGCTTAGCAATTAAAAAGATGTCAATATTTGATAGTAATCAATCACTATATATGTAAAAAAAAAAATGATATATAAAAAGAATAGACTCTAAAATAAGAAATATACTAATTTAGACCATCTACAACTTATACTTATTAAATTTAATAGTCAAGGAAGAAATATCATGGCTATATTAATACATAGAAAATACAAACTATTGTTTAGATTTAGTTTTTGATGTTTAAGCAAGATTAAAAATATAAATATTTTTTATAATTTTTTAGATATTTTTATATATAAAAGATGCCTTGTTATTGACCTCATAATGTAATTCTCTAAAATCATTCATAGAAAAATATTGCAATATCTTAAAAACAAGAAAAATTACTTATTTTTTGTTAAAGCTATATATTGAAATTACTATATAATAATGTAATAACTGGAATTGTAACAAATAACCTTGATTCTTTAGGACATAAGAAATATATATGTATATATGTATATATATATATATATATATATATATATATATATAATTTAATGAGAGATTTTAATCTAATATTATACTTTTTAATTAAGATATCTTAAATATAATGCTAAATAATCAAAACAAACATCAAAAATTATGCTAGTAAAAATCTTAAATATGTTTTAATTTTCATGGACATTTGATTAATTTTTTATTAAAAAAAATATTTTTATATATATTTAATAAATACTACAAAATAGAATTAGAAAGAGCTATTATTTCTTGTAATAAAATTGAAAAGTGCAAATCAATATCTCTTAGTACAAATATATTTTCTATATAAAACTATTTTATTGAGTTTTTAAATTTTTATTATTGAATTAAGCCAAATTTAAATAATCTTAGTTTAGAATTGTTCAATGACACAAGAAACTATTTTGACAATACAAACAAAGTTGATATCTTACATATAATATTACTAATAAAAAATATTAAAAAAAAAAAAACAACTTCAAAACTTATTGGTCGTTAGTGAGATATGTGAATGAAATACATAGATTGTAAATGATTATCAAAGAAAAATCGAATCAAAATAAACCAATAAATCATGTTATAATTTTATAATCTTTTATGTATTGAAATGATGTATCATTCTTATCAACCACCTCCATTATAATGACAGACAATATTAATGTTCCTAATACATGATTAAGCCAATATTTTAAATCTAATTCTTTAATTTGATTCTTTCATCTACAAATTAATTATTTCTTCAATCTCAATAGATATTGAAAAGACTAAGTATTTTGTTACATAATATTATAGATCTAAATGATTATATAATATATTCCAAAGAAAGGAATATATTAGTATATGTAACCTATATATAATAACATAATGCTTCAAAAATACCTGCCATTCAATGGAAAATAATAGAGATTCTCAATTCTTTGCCTCTTCGAGTTATTTTAGATGGTTGCCATAGGTGAGTTACTAAATCAACTCACCTTGGAAGTTTAAAATACAAAATGCACTTATAGTACTTAAAATTATAATTAAGTTAGTAAATGTGGAAGATAGTGGATTTATTTATAGATCTAGTGTTAGTAGTATAGGGTGATTAATTCATAAAATTGCTCGGATGCAACACTTCCACAATTGTCTTGTTCATCATTAGAATTGCTAAAAGCCAAGGACGTATAGAAAATCAAAATTAAAAATCAAAGAATTGCTTACCTTAGAAAAAATTCTATAATGTTTGCATCTAAACAAAAGTAAAATAAAAATAAAAATAATAAGATTACTCTTCGTGCAAAGGAGGTAGTAGTAGAAAATTGTAAAAAGAGGAGTCGGAAAATAGTAGTAGAAAAAAACTAGAAGTATAGGTTGCTGGTCCAAGATTTTTATTGAAGCAATTTTCTCATAACTTGGGCCAATCTGAATTCAAGGGAAGGCAGCCCCATCCATGAGGGATCCAGGGCGATTCTATATTCTCTCTCTCTCTCTCTCTCTTTTTTTTCCCTTATGTAACGACGTAGAGCTCCTTAATTTGGGGGGGGGGGGGGGGGGGTTGCGGTTGTTTTCTTGTTTTTCCTATGTCTGTGTTTCCCGGAGGTTTTTTTTGTTGCGGTTCTGAGGCGTAGAGCAGCCGTGACTGGCTGGGTGGGAGCGACGTAGTGGTTTTGACTCCCAGTGACGTCGACGGTGGAGCTGCTAAAATTGTGCATCGGGCTTTGGAGTGCAAGCGGTTGACGGCGGCTAGAGTACAATGCGGTTCCAGTGTAGTGTGATTGGTTCAGTAGCTGCTGCCGAAGTTAGTCTTGTTGATGAAGCAAAAAGTGTGGCTGCGGGGGTACGGATGGACAATGAGAGATTTTTGGCAGGACTCTGCCACATTGTGGGTGTGGTTTGAGTCGTGAGCGGCTCTTGTTCTGGTCTTCTTCCTTCTAGTTTTGGTGCCCCTGCAATATGGAGGCAAAGATCTCTAGTTTTTAAGAAATGCTGGTTCTGGTCCTTCGGCATCGCGGTGCCGCGGCGACGGAAGTCAGTGCGGCGCTAGGGAGCCGGACTGGAGCGGCTGGCATTAGTGGCTTTTTGCATGGTGTGCAGAGAGTTATCCCAGTGCTAGTTTTGTTTTTGTTTTGTTTTGTTTTGTTTTTTTTTTTCCCTTTTAATTCTGCTTCAACAATGCAACGGTGTCGGCAGTTCTTTGTTCTCGGAAGGGTGTTGCGGCTGTTTCCAATTGTAGAATGGCTTTGAGCGGAGGCAGTTTGTATTGGAGTGGCTAGAGCCGTGCATTAGATTTATTTTTTACTTCTGCCGTTGCAACGCGTGGCGTTGTGGTCTTGTTGCAGTGCGACGGTGTCGCAAGATTGTTTTTGTGTCTGTGTGATCTTTTGGAAGCTTGATTGCGCTTCCAAGCGGACCTTGTGTACAAAGTTTGAAGAACTAATAAAATTGAGAAAAAACAAAAAGTTAAAGTAAAGAAGATCCAATATGATTGCAAGTCAAGGGTAGCAAGTTTGAGAGGTCATAATTTGATGTTTATAAGAACTAGGGTCATAAAACTTAGAATATAGTTTTTTTTTATTAATTCATAAACTTATTTACTAAGTTTCAAAGCATTGTGACATTTGATTTAGGAGATATGCAAGAAAGAGTAACTAGAGTTAGGATAGTGAGGAAAAAATAGTGACCAAAAAATTAATGTAGGTGATTTGTTTGTTAAAAATAATTTAAAACATAAATTATTTTAAAATTTGAAATATTAAAAAGAATAAGATATTTAATCTATGGCAAAAGGTTTTAAATTATTCCATTGATTTTATATTGAGTTATACAAGTCAAAATAAAATATAT